CAAATGATGTTGCTTATAAATCTAGAATTCTAAACTTGAACGGAGTATATTATTTGTCATTTTCAATTCATCTTTATTTTGCCATGCTAATGTCAGCGGGTAGTCGCATCAAACGCTGAAAAGATGATCATTTTTGTATTGTCTAATTATTTATGATGGCTTCATTAGCGAGTTTATTAGCCGAGCTAATAGGTTTATTCTACGTTTCGTTAACTATTAATATGTTCAAAATACGTCAACATCATTGACCTATTCTTTGGTTAACCAAAAAGCTACTGCTAGGGGGTGGTAGAGTGGGCCATGGTTGGTAGTAAATTCTATTTATTATGTAAACTCTATCATGGTTATTTGGTTGCATCTCTAATGTTTGTGATCATAAATGAGTTTCTTACTTTGATAAATCTTTCTAACTATCATAAATTATTATTTATTCCGTGGCATAGCTACGATTGCTTCATTTTATGAATCAAGATTTATTTATATCATTAAACCATTTTCTCCTTTTATCCGTCAATTTTTAAATTTTTTTCTGGCCTGTTTTTACTTTAATTGAGGTAATTAATAATAATTACTGGGCGACCTTGAATAGCATTGAATTATGTTGAAAAAAATTGGAAATGAGCTTAATCGAGTGCGCCTCCCTATAGCAACTGACAGTTATTGTTTTTTTTTAATCGTCCATAGCAGCAAAGTTCTCCCATCATCATAATTATATGAGTATATTACTTGACGATTAAAGTGGACTGTCTAGAATCACTTTTACTATCATATCGCGATATTAATTCCTACTGGAACTTTAACCCAACTCATACGCGTATTCATCTCTTCTCCGTAGCGATCTAAATTTGCCATCATATATAGTCATATTGGCGTCTTAGATGACAATTAATTAATCTTATAGATTTGGGCTAAAACCTGATAGAAATAGGGATGATTTAGTCATGCTTATAATTTTTAGCTATCCTTTAGGTATAGTCTATCCCTTCTGTCATGACTAATGTCGTCATTCTAACAATCTTGATGTCATCTGGGTCTCCTCTAGTATCATTTTACTAAGTTTAGTGGAGTATAGATCCTTTGGGTTGAAATAGTATTGCTAAGGTCTACACGAAGGCCTTGATTACTGTTATTGTCAATAATACACCTTCCAGGCTCGTTGTTAAGTAACCACTAGTACCATACCTCTATCATTACTTTATGACGTTGATGTATAGAGTAAGCAGACTACATACTGATACAGCCAGAAACCATTATATAGAATCATTATTTACATGGAGACACGATGTTGGGTACCCTGGATGACGCAATATGATAGTTCTTTTCTAGTTATCCATCATGGAGGCCATTGGTATTTTTGTTAGTTTATTACTTTTATAATCGGTAGAGCTTTTTAGTTGATAAAGTTTATTGGTATAGGAGTTTATCTTGATTAAACGAAGAAATTAAGCTTAGTGAAATCCTATAGGCAGGCTGAGTATGAGTACTAAGCGGTAGATAAAGCTGCAGGTTAATATTTTCATGGTGATAATAACCATACTTATATTTGAACCCTGACTGTAAAAGTGATCTTCCGGTCGGCCTTGACTGAATTCGATGCTATTCTATATACTTTAAACAGCAACTAGTCTGGGATCCAATTATTCATTAACTTAGTGGTGGTAAGGTTACGGGCTTGACCGTGACTTTTTAGGAGTGAAATCGTCATAGTATGAGCTTCTATATTTAGGCACTGCCAACGAAGGACAATCTTTTTTATACTGTAGAAGTACTGATAGCTATCATCGAAATCATATCCTCATATAAGAATAACATTTATGGATAAGACTGGACTATAAGGATCTTTCAAACAATCCGCAATTAGTAAAGCTATTGACAAAATAATGATAGTCGAATATACGATCGTTAATAGAGTTAAGGCGGAGAGGTTGGAGGTGGTCTTTAATAAGTAGTTTTTATTGTCTTGATAGTAAATTACTATCATACTACCTATCGATATCACATCATGAAATAGAAATGGCGTTTATTGACAAGATCGGACTATGAGGACCTTACAAGTATTGCGCTGATAAAGTTGTTGACAAAAGGTAGGGGAAAATCTGAAGTATGATACTTATAGTGAATAGACAATTATCACTGCTGCATAAATTGCTATGGGAAAGAAAGGTAAATCGTCTTGCAAGATTTTACATTAGTGCTTGAAAGATGGGATATAATGAAACGACATTACGCATTATCACTTTGATATGAATGCCATATATTAGCCTTAATAACGGGATATAATAAAATGACATTATACAGTTTCGTCGGAATATTGACTACATATATTAATGCGAAAGATAGGTTGGAATGAGATGATATTATGCGGTGTCGTCTTGATACTAACTGCATATATTGGCACTTATGGTAGGATATAATAAAACGATATTGTACGTTATCGTCTGACATTAATTGCATGTATTTGTGCAAAAAATAGGATATAATAAAACGATATTATGTATTATTGTCCTGATATTAATTGCATGTATGTTAATAGCGCTAACGATACAATATAATAAATGATATTATGCACTATCGTTCTGATATTAACTTCATATATTAGCACTGTTGTAATGTTAAAGATGGACAGTATTATTCAAAGGGTTTCGCTCCTAATAGCAGATCATATGTACTTTTGATGTAATTATTCCCCCGTTACAGCTGGTTCAAGACTTGCAATTCTTTTCACAACACATTATTGCTAAAATAATCCTTATCTAAGTTAACGTGCATATTTTCCTATAAATATGCCTTATATTCGCATTTTATATCTTTATCATAATTAATACGGTAATACGATGGAATCTATCAATTTTTACCTCTATGGATGAAATTATTTACTTAAGAATATCCTTATACTTTTAGCAACAACGATAAAAGTAGGATAGACAGCATATATAAAGATACCAATAGACATATTGGGGTGGTAAATGTGGACATTATATGCAAATCCAATGATAAATCAGGTTTGATATCAGTTCAATGATAAAAGAATAGATGTTTGTCCTAACTATAAGGATATGCAAAATTAGCCCATTCATAATCATAGTGTCTTCATATCATGTATATTTTGAACCTAAGCACTCTTACTCAGGTTAAAAAGACCGCTATGTATAATTATATTTATTTCATCATATCAACCTTTATTTTAAGTTATATTACTAGAGTATAGTGTGTTTAGGTAAAAAAGACGTACAATTTTTTAGGTTAAAAAATCCGTTGTTAAGTTCAATACGGATAACATTGTAAGCTGAAATGACAGATTCTAAGAATTTTCAAACAAATAAGGATAAAATATTAATTAGATAAGAATGTTGCGTGCAAAATTATTTATTCAAAAATACAAAATTGATTCTTCAAGCGTTTTTATCCAGCTATCGAACTGATACTGCAACAGTAGCAAAAGAAAGTGATATAAAATCATCAATTAATCTACATAATTAACTAGCGATGAATATTGAATAACAACTATTTCTCTTTCATATAACTATTATTTAATTGATTATCATGCCAATGATATGGCTAATAAGTTATGATTGGAAAGGCGTCATTTCTTTTGTTTAAAACTTGATTAATTTAAAAATATTTAATCACTTTGAAATTTTCTCTATCTAAATTAATATCCAATGAAATAACATCCAATTTCGATCATTCTTCGATCTCTTCTTTTCTTACAACAATGGGAATGTCGATTTTTTAACTTTAAAGGATGTTTTAGTTTTTATTCCAGCGGTCAGTAATAATTTTAAGAAAAACTTCTTTCATTACAATAATTTAGACTAAATTGTCTACAATTCTTAACGCTTAAATAATCAATTACCAGTCATTACCTAGAATGATAAATTACTAACCCTCCTCATTATTCATATTTATTTTTACTGATCAATTATATTAAAATAATGCTTATAATGTATTGTTAAACAATGTTCGACTTTTAGTAAAAAGTTACTTGAAGCCTTTCATCTACTACTTGACCAACATTATCTGTTAAGCGTAATAAATTAGTTATAAAGCTGAATTTTGAACAATTGCTCGCATTTTACAACTATTCGTATTTAGATAGGACATGCTAACAATAAGTGAATAAATTGACATATCATAGGTAAAAGTTTTACGATTTTAATTTCGTTTCAATCGAATCCTATTTTGATATTATATCGACAATAGGTATTACTATCCAAGATGGAAGTATATAACTACAGATGGAAGCAAAAGCGACAACGAAAAAAAATGCTTCGTTTTACCTTACTGGCGGTCATTTGTATGGGGTTGATTTGCTATGTAAGATCTCCATTGCTGATGTCCTCTTCAGAGCAAGGTAATAGGATTGAAATAAAAGTTAAATTACTGGAAAAAATACAATATCTAAATATTAAATTTGAAAACAGTTTAAAACTTGGCTATAGTCTATCCCTAAATAGGGAAAAGTTATTTGCGTAAACATTTAATTAGAAATATCCAGTTCACTGAAAGAAATCTCAAAGATTTTTTCTTACTTTTTTTCCCCTTCTTTTTATATCCTTTTCAATCGATGGATTAGTAGAAAATTCTTACAAATCAAAATCATCTCGCCGATTACTCAATTCTATTAGTACTATATCATCAGTTCTACCAACTGATCATTCTAATGGAAATGATAGTTATAACCATTTTATGCAGACATTGCAAGGTTGTGAAATGGAACGAAAGTCGACGCCGTATGTTTGGCTAGTTCTTCATATCTTTTTAATATTAATGATCTTTATAGGTAAATGATTTGATGGGTATTTTTCTTTCTAGAGTTTTTTCTTATGGCTAAATATCATTAACTGAAATTTCTTATAGTTGAAATCTCATCCATTGAATTAATAGTTTATCGATCTAGTAATCATTGAATATTCTAATCACTTCGATCGCTAGGGCTAGCTATTATTTGCGATGATCATTTTGTTCCATCGCTTGAAGTTATATGTGACCGATTAGAACTATCCGAAGATGTTGCTGGAGCAACTTTTATGGCGGCTGGTTCTTCAGCTCCAGAATTATTTACATCCTTAGCCTCCGTAACCGCTGACAATGAAGTTGGAGCTGGAACAATAGTAGGGTAAGTCATTACAGAAAATGAAATCATAGTAAATCAACGATTATACTTTACTAATTGGGCTATACATCTTATTTCTATTATAAGTTTCAGTAAAGCCTTGTAGATTGGAAAATGTTACTACTTATACTTATTATGACTCGCTTTTCTTATGTAGGAGTGCAGTATTTAATATACTAATTATTATTGCTCTCAGCGCTGCCTTCGCTAAAAGAGTAAGCTTTTCATTCATACGATCAATAATAAATCTTTTCATATGGTTAATATTCAGTAATTAGTGATATCGGTTAACTAATACTGCAAACCTAAAGTGAAATACTTTATAAGATGATCGTTTTTCAAACCAAATACTAAGAAAAATAATTTCATTTTTAACTAGGTTTTAAAAATTGATTGGCGACCACTAATTCGAGATTCTGTATTTTATGCAATCTCTATTATTATGTTTACGATTTTTGTAGCCGATTATAAAATTTATATTTATGAAGCCATCATATTATTAGTTATGTATGTCGTTTATGTTGTCCTGATGAAATTTAACCCGCAATTAATGAAATTAATGGCAGGAGAATATAAGTACGCGTATGCTTCATTCTACTGTAGTATATCTAAAATTGTATTCTACGGTATTTTAAGAAAATATTTGCATCATTGAATAACAAAATGCATAATTGTTTTATCATTTCTAGTTGTTCTAGAGCAGTCGATAATAAAGTAACCCCATCTAATACCCCTGAACTAGATGGTGACAACGATAAAAGCAGATCAGCTAATAATTCTAAACTTAATGGGTTGTTAACGCCTGATTATAGCCAAGATCCAAGGGCGTCTGACCTATTAAAGAATCCTTCTATTAGGACTGCTTCCTCTATCGTATCCAGCGAGACACAAAGTAATAGAGAGGACGAAAATGAAGACTTACTTAAGCATAAATTACCTTCCAATCGTGAATTTTCGACTCGAACTGTTACTAATAAGCAGATATTACCGAAATTACAAAATCAAGTATGTATTTCAATCTTTCGATGATTCACCTCAGTAATTAATTGGACTATACATATGTAGATAGTTGTGCAAAACTGTAACTATACGAAAAAATTTAAGAACATTTATTGTATATATCCAGGCCAGTTGTTATTTTTACACGTATATTTCTTCGAGTATGGAATACCGTTAAAGTAGCTGCAAACTATTTAAAAATGCCATTAAATTCTATTGTTCTTTCAGATCGATTAAAATCATTTTGTGTATATTATTTGCTTTAGAAATTTAATTGCAGCTTTACGAATGATAATACAATCGAAGATGAGCAGCAAAGTCTTGAAACTAAGAAACCACTTCCGCCGTTGTTTAAATCAGACTGTAAAGTAACTTTAACTAACGAAGAAAGTACCGGACCTCTGGAAAGTGTTGAGGATAGTGGATTGGAAGAGCATTATAAGGATAGAAATGTGGAAAGAGTAGATGAAAAAGCGAAAAAGCCAGAAAATGAAGAAGCAGATATAGACGAAGATGATGACAGATATTCTTTAGTAATTTGCTCTTGCATGCCGTCAATTATGCTCTCAATACCTCGAAAGCCCGAGGTTAGTCAATAAATCGTTATAATTTTTAAGCTAGCATCGAGTTTACAAATTGATTAGACTTTTCCAGTTACTAAATCCCATTTGCTGATCTTTTATCATTTTTCTTATATTCTATTTAGCCCAATGCAAAGTGTTTATGCTGGCAAATTTTTATCTTTGTCTTGAGATGGATACTGTTAATATTCTCCTTTCCTTTCATATGGGTGTTTTCATGGACTGTTCCGAACTGTTCAACCGAAAAATATAAAAAATACTATACACTTACCTTTATATTGTCTATTGTTTGGATTGCGGTATTAAGCTTCGGCATGGTTATCTTAGTATCTCGAACTGGTTGTATATTAAGCATTGACAGTTATACTATGGGCTTAGTTATCGTTGCGATTGGGACTAGTATCCCGGTAAGTTAATGAATTACCTTTTATAGATTGATAATATTAAAAAAAAATTTAACTATATATGGCTTACTGAATAAGAATGGTACTTAAATGTATTTTAAATTAATTAATATTTAGGATGCATTAAGCTCAATATTTGCAGTTCGAGATGGACATGGTGATATGGCCGTTTCCAATGCTATTGGATCAAATATTTTTGACATTAACCTTGGATTAGGTTTGCCATACTTGATAAGAATTTTGATCGATAAAGGAAAACCCTATATACTACATGTTACTGAAGCAGATCAATTCTTGGTAAGGCTATATATAAATAAGATGCTAAGTCTACTCCTACAATTCAATTTCAGAAATCGTAATATACGGCACATCTTTAAATTAACATTTCAAGATGGACATACAAATATTAAGATAGATACTAATAGAAAAAATGCTACAAATTTTTTATTACTTTCATTCTAGGATACAAGTGCTCTTCCAATCAATCCGTTTGTAAAATTTGGAATAGTACTATTAATTATATTAATTTTGGTCTTAATGATCTTCGTTATTGTAAAATTTCGGTTAAATCGGGTAATAGGCATTTCATTAGTTTTTCTTTATGCCATATTTTTAGTTTATGCATTTATACAGGACGCAGTTTGTAAATACCATTGTTAATATAATATTAAAATTGTAACGTGTAGATTGGCCATGTATGCTATTATGCGTCGTGAACTGGTAGTTGTTTACAATGTAAATTATATGACAACATATACAGATATGCACTAAAAGTGCATTGTAAGTATGTGGAATTGCGAATTTTTTTCTGTCAAAGAAATTGATTTATTAAGCATGATATTTTGACTTGTTCTCACATTTAGCGTTATTCCTCACTTTCTTCATGCTTCTTTTTATGCAATGATTTTAATTTTTCCATCCAACGTGATTGTTTATTGGACGGAGATGGGAAACTACTCTGTTTTAATTGATACAAAATTAATATAATTAATTACATCTATAGACCTAATGCTATTAACATAAAATTAACTTTATCATTACAAAGACTTCTATATATATAACGTATATGATATATACCGTTTAAGCTGGAATATGCGTTAAGTATACACTATAAGGTGAGATGATAAATATCGTCCATCGATTTAAATTGATATAATACGTACATCTAAGGCGTAATTCCTTTGTAATTGTGCTTGTTTGGCATCCTCTAGTATTACATTGGACGGTTTACAACCAAATATAGCTTCATCGTGTGAAATTATAGGTTTACAGATTGTTTCCGTGCTATCCTAAAAATCAAATCAAATAAAAAATTTTAATCGTTGATTTATTGCTATGGCTGGTTTTTGATTGAAAGCTTGAAGACTTTATGTTGTATATATATACTGTATAGTATTACCTGAGATTTCTTTTGATTTGGTGTAAATGGTTTCGATACAAAGGTTTCTGAGTTATCAATATCGTTAACAGCATCCATATCGACTTTTTCTCTGAAATCTAGAAAACATTTGAAATGTAGCTTTTGCAACATTAATCACAGCAATCACTACTATTCGTTAAAAAGGTTAACGAGATTGCCAAGTAGTCTTCATCGAATAACTTCTGCTAATGGTTATATAAGACTTCCCTTTACAATAAATTGTGACCTACCAGTGACTTCTAGGTCAAAACTTTTTGTATTCTTGATAGTGGTCCATTCACGATCACTTTTGGACTGTAAAAAATCGCTTTTTGCTAATAATAGTGAGAGAAGCATTATCTTTTGTTAATCACAATTAATTTCTGTTGCTTAATGTTTCATGATTGATTCCTTACCACTTACATCTTATTATATCATTATAGATCTCTATTATTTTGTGTTAGGTAATATCATGTAAACACCTACTGTATATAGCAGCCAAGTTACATTAGCGTACTGTACGAGTATAACTAATATATACTAATGAGGTAAGATAAATTTGAGTTAAATATATATATTATCATCAGCGTGTCGACTATAGGCGATAAAAGAACTAACTTGAATCTTTTAACTGGTATCTTGTCCTAGTTTTAAGCTTTTCAGCATCAGACTAACAAAATTAAAAAAAAAAATTAAGTATAGAAGGTTACATGTGTAAAATTATAATGTTATTTGATATTATTGGTACAATTATATCCTTTTCTGTAATCGCATGTGTAACGGAGCTGTACATACCATTTTGTCATATCCAGGTATAATTTTGCTGTAATTTTTACTATTTAAGAATTTAAAGATAAATTTACAAATTTATCAGTCCTATATAAATGATCTATATGGCAATTAGCTTCAGATTCGTCATGATGTTAAAAATCGCATACTGAATATACGGGTGTGCACTACGGAGCCACCGTATGAAAATGAGTTTGGGTTGCAGAAACTTTGATAGTCTGGATTACAGTCTGAATTACTGGGTGGCAGAAACTTGCAGTACTGTATATGGAGTCTATAATAACAACGGTATTGTTGTGCAGCTCGCATACTATTTCAGCGATTATGTACAGTATTTACCAGGTTGCAGACACTTTGTGGATGATGATATCATAAGAAGATTTAGTATTCAAATCTTTATCATTTCTAACCTACTGGTTCTTGATGAAGTTAGTTTGCTGTCTTTTCTTGCATCGTATCTATCGCGATAGTAATCACTTCGTGATCCTTGACTATGTCTAGCTTTCTCGTCATCATCGTAACGACGATGACCTGGATCTCGCTCTCTACTCCTACTACGATGTCGGTCGCGTCGCGAGTCGTATTTATCACGGTGTCGAGAATCGTTATAATATCTTTCAGATCTGCTATTTCGAGACATTGATCTAAAAGTGTAGAGTAGAGATCAAAGAATCAATATAATACCTTTCAGATCTGTCCATTGGAGATATAGATTAGCAACTGCAGATAGAATAAGGTTTGCTACAGAATAGACCTCCAAGTACATGGGACACTTACTGTAGAGCTGTTCATATGGCATGCATTTACTACTATGATTAGAACTATTACCGGTAGGTTCTCGAACTATTCTACGCATTTGATTTATTGCAGATGGATAAATACTACGATCACTGTAATGAATAATGCTGTCCAGCAGAATGTTGTATTGACAGTGGTTGATATTCATTCGTAGCGACTATTTCTACTTCAACCGCCTAATTGTCAGTTGTACTATCCAGTCTACATAATTTTAACAGTCTAGTTTACATGCATAGACGAAGATTGATTACCACTCTCTTATTGCCTCATTACTGATAGCCAATAATTAACCGATTGAGTGATATATGAATTTGGTATACGCGTACGATATAAGAATTTCTGTTGTGATCACTCCTAACGAGTACTACCTCACTACTGCAGAAGGATTTGTGCCAATAATCCTCCATAACATAGTCCATAAGCTATCCATCTACTTGGTACTCGAGATTAAGACTTAATAACTTAACCTACTTACAATATGATCGTTTACCGATAGTTTTGCTGCAATTCTATTTATTATTGTTGATTGGAGCTTGGAGCTTGGAAGGCCAAAAAGTTGAACAACTGCATCATTACAGTGCACAGCGTAAAGTATATACTGTATTGTAAGTGTATCCGTGGCGGGGCTTCGGCCTTACGGTACTGTACTGTATAATACTTATATATAGTATGGTGTATAGTAACATATATATGTTATACTGTATACATGTTATATATATGTTACGGCCAATGTCGGTAATGAATATATATATATGTTATACTGTATATATGTTATATATACATATATATATATACATATACAGTATTCACTATATTCAGTATAGTAATGTGCATCTACTAAAAAAGTTGCGAGAGTGCAGTGTTCCTGGTAGCACTAGTATTCCATACTGTATGTACAGTATTGTATAGTAAAATTGTTAATACTAGTCGACGGCTAGAATGTACTGCAGTACTTTAATCCATTAACCTTAAGGGAGTTTAGGTTAGCTGCTAAATTCTCGCATGGTTGTACTAGGAAATATAATTTGAGACGATAATATCCAGTTTCAGTTCAATTTAAAAAATAAATAAATTAGTGTACAGATCTAGAGCTTTTAAAGAGCAGTACAAAGTTAGCTGCTTAATTCTCGCGTGGATTGTACTGGACAAATAATATGAGATGATAATATCTAATTTCAATTCAATTTAAAATAAAAATAACTCAATAAATAATAAATCACGTAGATATACAGATTTACAGCTTTTAATGAGTAGTATAAGGATAGCTACTAAATTCTAATATGAAGTGTAATGGAAAAATAATTTAAGATGATAATATCTAATTTCAATTCTATTTAAAATAAAATAATTCAATAAATAATAAAACACGTAGATATACAGATTTACAGATTTCAATGAGTAGCACAAAGTTAACTGCTTAATTCTCGCATGGATTGTGTTAAAAAAATAATTTGAGATGATAATATTTAATATCAATTCAATTTAAAATAATGAATAAATAATAAAACACGTAGATATACAGATTTACAGCTTTTAATGAGTAGTATAAGGATAGCTACTAAATTCTAATATGGAGTGTACTAGAAAAATAATTTAAGAGATAATATCCAATTTTAATTCTATTTAAAAAATAAATAAATGTACAGATCTAGGGCTTTTAATATGTAGTATAGGGTTAGCTGCTTTATTTTCGCGTAGATTGGACTAGAAAATTAATTTGAGATGATAACATCTAATTTCAACTCAATTTAAAAATAAACAAAGTTGCAGAGTTAGAGCTTTTAATGATCATAAGTAGCACAAAGACTAGCTTCCAAATTCTTGCATGAATTGCACTAGAAAAATTTGAGATGATAATTTCCAATATTTTAATTCTATTTAAAAATAAGTAGATGTACGTATACTATAGATCTAGAGCTTTTAGTGAGTAGTACAAAGTTAATCAGTAAATTCTCGCATTGATTGTACTAGAAAAATAATTTGAGATGATAACATCCAATTTTAATTCAATTTATATACGGAGTAGTACATGAGGCAATTTCTAATTGTGTAAGAAATGATGTACTATTCATAATAAATAAACAACAATATACTCTTGATTTAGGTTTCTTAATTCTTCTCAGTACTCTATTATTTTCAGGGTATGCTTGGCGATACTTATACCACTGTGCATGGACACTGAATTCAATTTGGTATTATTAGCTATAAGTCAACGTTAACGTTAATTTTTTCTAACATTATAGTCTCTACCTTGAATGAATAAAACTTATCTAGACAGTAAAATCTTGGAAAATTGAAAGGTGATAATAAATTGATAGTATACATCTACTGGAAGAGTTTAATAATGGATATGAAATATCCTCGTACTTTCGATGAATATCGTTACATGATAAAATTTTAAAATTACAGCAGTAAAGTATTCGTAACGTATTGGCTATAGTTTTATGTGCTATCAATACATCCATATCCATATGCTATCCCTTTTTACCCTACATAAATCGTGGACATTTAGTATACCTAAGTGTACCCTATAACCTCGCATATACAATTGTACACGTATATTAGCTTGCATTATGATTACATTAAAATTGCTTGCATGCTACGTACCTGTCTGAATTCGTTCGTGTTATGCAGCAACAATAGTTACAATTAGCGATTTGATGGGCAATATATGCGTCTATCATAAATATATTAGGAACGCCTTATGAAATCTTAATGCAGATGTCTATATTGTATTAGTATGTACACACTACTACGTAGGTATAGGGTAGTTATCCATGTTAGAATTTAATCAGTCGTTTCGGATCTCCTAAAAGTAACCGCATAGCTCAAACAGAGACTTCAAAATTTTTTATTGAAAGTTTCCTGGCTCAAATAACACGCATATATCACTTCACTAACAATCACACATGCTGTACTCTTGTAGTTATACTGTATATGGCTTACTATTTATTGAATCATGTATGGAGAGCAATGGATACTATGCGGGTAAATACATGCTAATTTGCACATTTTTTATTTCAAGTCCATTATTCTCTTCATCGTTGCAGTTAGTAAAGATTAATCTGAATCACCAGGTAATCGCGGAGATTGATTTACATACACGTAGTAGTATACGGCATAACCAGTGAATATTAATTAAATGTTTATCTACTAAATTGGTAATTAGAGTTTCAACATCGGTTTTGCTACACTATCGTGCTATGGAAAATAATACAATGAGCGTGCTACAATCTAATGTAGTGATTGCAATAATTACTAGTCTGCACTTATTAGGAGCCAATTTTCAACAGGGTAGTAGATAGTATACATTTCTGCACGTTAGAATGCAGGCTTGGGCTTAGTTTCTTCCCAGTGAGCTATTTTGGGAAGAGCTGCAACCCTTTGGTACAGAGATTTTAGTCTGTCGCTGCTGACATCGCCAACCAAACCAGAAACAGTCTTTATCATGCGATAGTACGCCAAGTCAGCATAGGTTAACGAGTTTCCAAGTAAGTAATCTCCACCGCTACTTTCATACAATCTATCAAGATTTCGCAAGAATTTAGGAACGGTTTCTTCCTTAAACTTTTTTTGAAGTTCAGCCTAGTTGCAAGTGTTCGATTCAAAAGGGTATAAAATTACAATTTTTACTGTTAAGACAATAACCTACTGTAAATAGCAGTATCGACGATTACCTTTTTTTCAGGATCTTGCTCAAAGTAAGCACACTTCCAGAAATTTTCCAAAACATCATCATCTATAGCACTAACATACATGTCAGCTAAGGCTTCTTCTTCCAAGTTTTTACCTGCCAATCCTGGCATAGTAGTACAATACAGTAAGTCAATAACAAAGATAGTAATACCAAGTTAATACACCGTATAAATAAAATGATGATTAGGACGGTACACCATCTTTATCTTAGCATTGTATAAGGTATGGAACAAGCAAATGTGGAATTCAATATTAGAAGAAAATATACCTGCTAGACGTGCAGCGTAGCGAGCAATTGCTCGACTTTGACATATTTTCTGTCCGTTGACTTCTAACACGGGTACTTGGGTGAAAGGAAAACCACCTAGTACGGGAAGATATTTTGGTAAGATGATCGGTATTATCTATAACATTAAGTAATGGATTTACTGATGCATTTTATGTTATATTATATGTTTTACATATAATTAAAACTACACACAAAAGCCCCAGGTGCGATTATTACAGTATTGTACAAATGAGTAGATATCAAAATAGAAACCGAAGATAGTTATCATGAGAATACATGCACAACTACTACAGCATTGAAATTAAAAATTAGCCTAATATTCAATTCACTTCTGTCATTAAGGCATCAATAAAATTCTACTCGTTCCTTGTAAGTTTACACCCTCTGTAGTAAATTGGCAGAATTTGAATTGATGACGTTGTCCATTCGCACAAATATATTGCTACTGTACAAACAGTATCTGCAGTAGTAGACTAAGTAACAGATCAGCAGTTTCAAATGCACGCTAATTGTAAATACAGTATCGTACTGTACTTTGTTGTAAAGTTCAGAAAATAGTTTGTACAAATTCTTTATTATACAGTATGTCCAGCGCCTGGACTGGACTCCTGGCAGAGATGTTGATTATTTTGCTTCCATGGACAATGGACATGCTTACGGAATTGAGCGGTATCTTGTGCATTTGAGCATCGCAGGTTTACAGCATTCTGCTAGCATGGCTAAATACAACCTGAATTCGAAGTAGACTAAATAGAATTGTTCTAAAATTGCAATTTGAAAACAGTATCTGTAACCAACTAAAGCTACCTAATGACTATAGCATAGTAGTCATCAAGCACACGGTGGAAATCAATCGGTCGTACAGTATGTAGACTAATAAGAGTTTTTATGACTCTTGTATGCGAAATAGAAGCTCGAACAATGGCGATGTTGAGAAGATTTATAAGGTTAGCAAGGAGGATTTGCTGTCCAATACGATTCACAGGATCCACAATCTCATGGTAGCAGAGTTACAAATGAGATTTCAATTAATTCATTAATTGGAGTGGCGTTCTCTGCATGTCATCAGCGTATCCATGCAGCAAACAAGCCGATGACGTTGTTAGGAACATCTCATCCTTCCCATGCAGTTAAGGTGGAAATTCAGAAAATAGCAAACTAGGCTATCATTGGCCAAACTGTTGTTTTCATGCTACTTCCTATTTGCTAATTTCAAATTACAGTACGGGATCGTCTTTGAAGCTATATTGGCCGAGCTCGTATCCTATGGGTGCATTGACTCACCTTCAGCTTTAATTTTAGGCCAATCTTTAAACTCGAAGCGGAAATCCTCAAATTCAATGCCACCTTGGACTAGGACCAACCGAATCAATTCAGCACGAACTTCGCCGTTAAAATAAATCAATTTCATGATGTAATTTTTCCACAGCTACAAGAGATGCCAGAGCCAAGACCAAGCAAGTAAAAGTGCTGAAATGCAACTGCAGCTTGTTATTGATGTAGTAGAGAAGAGCAATTTTGGTTTTGTTGTTGGTTTGTAGAAGACATTTAATTTGCATACTGTATACGATCTGCAGTAGCCAATACAAACGAGCAAACAATAGCAAATTTGTTCTGATAAATTACTTGATCCAGTATGGCTCCATCGAGCCGTTTCGTGCCACTAGAGGGCAGCAGCATCAACCTATTGTTAAAAATGCTGCGTCAAGTCACGTGGTTACTACGTCATCTTATGACCGTGTTGTATTTGTTTGTTTTAAACTGTATTGTACTGAGTATGGCTAATAAGTATAGTATAGAACTGTACAGTCTACTAGGGACATTTTGTAGTCACATATCCACTTCTACAGTATAGTATGTCTACAAGCAACATGGCGTGATGTTGTAATGTTGATGTTAGTCTTGTTTTGTAGGGGTACTGTATAGTAGAATTTAATTTTCTCAATTCATACGCGTGGTGTCGGTATTCTTTTATACTCAGATACATGGACAGTTGATCACAACGTTTTAATGAATACTACAATCATGCCGCAAATACCGAGAATAGAACAGGAACGTGGGAGTGCTGTTGCAGTAAAGTCCATGTGTAACGCGTGCTTTTACGCGACCTATTTTGCCTGGCGATGTGTCTGCAGACCGTATACCATACTGCTTAAAACCAACTTTGCAGGCTAATAGTAGCTAATTTGGATGTCAATCGGGGACAGTACAGTATAGTGTAGCATTACAGATATGCGATACAGCTGAAATAAGCAGTAAAATAATCAGCTTCCAAATTATCACGAGTGAACAACCATTTGCTGTTCGTAGTCCTTGCTTGATGGTACTGTGCAGTACTGTACACTGTGTACAGTAGCTACTGTATTTGACCATAGACTCCTGGGCACCAGTGGGCATGAAACTCCTTTGGACGGACAGACATTTATCCTAGTTTGGTCAATAAATTGTGTCAAACACTTCATGATGATAGTACTTTAGTATGCAGACAGTCGACTCTAAATTGACCGATTTTTCTAAATGAAGTAATATTCCATTGCCTGTTACTAAGCTCTGCTTAGAAGCAGTCAATTTAGATCATGAATGCTATTCAAATGAATACGAGTGATTTCAAAAACCGACACGGAAGACCTACTCTACTGTACTGTATATAGATGAGTAATTATTTTTCGACATTTTCGGCCTTATCTAGTATGAAAGTCCGTCCATCCGAGGAGAGTTTCATGTCCAGGTATTTTTTCTACTCTACAGTACATGTACAGTGTACACTGTACAGTATAACGGAGTAGTGACTGACTCGCGGACAGATGCCCTCTTTCCAAAATCCAAGTAGTATTTATGCGCAGGCTCGAGCTAAAGACGATCTCTTGCAGCCATTTTTACATCATAAGGTAAGCATGGTGCCCTTCGATATTATCGTGAGGAATCTTGTCAATCTTTCTTGTAGGCAATATCATTTCATATTGAAAACGGATAGATCAATCATTTTTGAACAATATTTTTACTTTTTTTTCCATTCTTAATGTTCAACTTGATTACTACACGATATTCTTCTTGCCTCTGTAACACTACATCATAAAAATGCCAGCAGTACATCGACAGTATGGAGGACTATCCTATAGCCAACACTTACTTTAAGACTCGGTTACAACTTACTACTCGTGTGTTATGTCCGCGACTATAAGTTTAGTTATGTTCTCTTAATTGGCTTGAAATAATCTGGAATTTTAGTCAGTTTTAGACTAGGATGCTAAAACTTAAAATAGATTTTAAATTTTCGGATAGCGTTGATTTAGTTATGCGGTTGCTAGTAAATGGTCTGTCTCATTTTACTTTTAATGTACTACTTGAATATTATCAGGACTTTTAACTACTATTGAAGTTAGGCATGATGTCTAATTTATAGTACATACGGGAGATGGGTAGCTGAAATTCGTTATAACAGGATTACTGATACGTATGCTTGTAGGCGTTGTGCAGTACGATAGCGCCGATGGTAGTTGTGATATTTTGATGAACTGTATGCAGTGTTTCTACTCATCTTGTTAGTGTTTGGTGGCAACGGCATAATATAGACGAAAGAGAGAGCGACAAGAAAGTAGTACTAACCGAGAACTCTACTGTACCCTAATAGTCTAATTATCATGAGTAATGGTAGACGCTCGATCATTCATGAAATGTCACATGTCTTGCAATTTACTTCTACATCAACATGCAGTACTATATTTTCCATCCTGCATACCAATAAAATCTTCTTTCATCAGCTGAAGAGTCTCGACAGTACTGTATGATTATTATCTCTAGCTGCCTTCTGGCGAAAAAGTAGTGATTGAAATACATGTGTTATTAACTTAATTTTTGTGTTATAGTTGTAGTCATGGGCCGTGTTATAAGAGGTCAAAGAAAGGGAGCTGGAAGTGTATTTCGCTCTCATGTACAACATAGGAAAGGAGCCGTAAAACTACGTGTGTTGGATTATGCAGAAAGGCACGGCTATATTCGTGGTATTGTTAAAGAAATAGTTCACGATCCTGGTCGTGGTGCACCTTTAGCCAAGGTAGCATTTCGGGATCCATACCGCTACCGACTAAGGACTGAAACATTCCTTGCTGTTGAAGGAGTATATACAGGACAATTTGTATACTGCGGTAAAAAAGGTAGGAAAATGATTCTCTAACTGATATCTCCATCACCTGAACAGTCAGATTAGAATTCTACTTTTCACTATTTTATTTGATGTTGTTGTAATCGCACGACTTTAACTAACATGCGTATTGATTCATTTTAGCTAATTTAACGATGGGCAATTGCATGCCTATTGGCGAAATGCCCGAGGGTACCGTGGTATGCGGTGTTGAAGAAAAGCCTGGTGACCGTGGTAAAATAGCCAGAGCTTCCGGCAACTCTGCAACTGTTATTTCGCATAATCCTGATTCTGGACGTACACGTGTTCGATTACCTTCCGGTGCTAAGAAGGTTCTTTCATCCTCTAGCCGAGCTATCGTCGGGATTGTTGCTGGCGGTGGACGTACTGAAAAACCATTGTTGAAAGCTGGTAGAGCTTATCATAAATTTAAAGTAAAGCGTAACTGTTGGCCTCGTGTGCGTGGTGTGGCCATGAATGTAAGTGTCCTACTAGTGTTTAGATAGTAATCCTTGGTGCTTTCCTTATCTGTATAGAAAATCATGGCACTATACTATAGACCAGTATATTGTACAATACTGAAAAAATAGCTACTATTGAACTGGTGGAATATATATGTTACTAATATTAATTTTTCATTTTATTATAGCCTGTCGACCATCCACATGGTGGTGGTAACCATCAACATATTGGTACACCATCAACTGTTAGACGTGACACTCCTGCAGGTCGTAAAGTCGGTCTTATTGCTGCTAGGAGAACTGGTCGTCTACGTGGTGGTAGTAAATCATTTGATAAGGATTAAGCGAAAGAATTTAAAAATGGCACTGTTGTACAATGTAACATTTCTTAATTAAGAAATAAAAAACGATCATTCGATGTTGATAGTATAAATTACATAATAAGGTGTTGACTTACTTTATGGTATTACTTACTGCTTGATAATGCGAATGATGTATTCTAACCATGGAGTTCAGTTGGCTTTGTTAGTAGTGTAGGTCTACGTCAATTTCTAGATACCTACTTTGTGCATGTGGTCAACGTAAAACTCATTTGTTATTACAACGTGGTTAAGATGTTCTCGACGTCATTAGTAACATTCAAGTAGTAAAATGCTTAACCGCTGTTGATATCAAAGGTTGACTCAAGAAGCAAACCTTACTACTTATTTAGCGGTCGGCTACAGTAAGCTTAGCATTTAATTCAGTTCATACAGTACGGCACATAAATTGCAAGGGCAAAATGTATTTAGTAACAAAAGGCGAATTTTACCACATGCTCGTAATGTGTGAGTGCTGTACATTCGTATATTGAACGATGAAAATTTATGCAGTACAGTACTGTACAGTAATCCTCGGTAATCTACTTGAACTTTACAATATCATCGATTGCTCTACTGACTGATAGCTAGTATAAAATGGTCAAAATAAGATAAAGTCAAAGTTTTTTATTAACGTAATATAATGCTTCAATATAAGAGTATGCATGACAGCGGTCCGATTTACGGTTGATACATAGGCATTATACAATATTATAATATACCTTTTTAAGAGTAACAGAATACAATTCCGTAAAGATCATAAGCGCATTCAGTAAGAGAACAGATGGCTTGTCTTTCTTAAAGCAAATAAATACGCACATCTTAACAAGTTAAACTTGGATAGGACGAGGGTTTTAAGTTCAAAATACTTGAAAGCACCTCATTGCATTCTAAGCCTTCAAAATGAATTTACTGTCGTAAATGTGCACAGTATTTATACCCCTGTTATAAAACTTCGATTCAACTTGAAATACAAATGACCCACATTTGCAAAGACTAAAAGCGCGTGTAAAGCATATACTACATAGAAATATGGTAATAAAATAACACAGTACGTAATTTCTGAGATTTACAGTAAAAAAGCTGTCCATAATATCGTTATTTTCTCTGTAATAAACACAATCGAATTAAAAAATTTCAAATAAATGCGTACCAAAGGCGGTATAATCAGATCATGATATAAATACTATAATTATTGCTTTACCCAATACATACATTTATATTTAATGCGAATTTTTTAAAAGTAGCATTCTTACTGATATACAAAATACATAAACTACCCTACTATACTTCGACCAAAGCAGTATAGGAACATCGAAATAAATCTATACATTAATTAACTAGAGAATCAATACATAAAGCGGTATTTATAATTTGCAAAGACCCATCGAAGCCTGGTAAACGGTACTGTAAGAAACATACAGTACAAAACACTGTCAACTCACAATGTTAAGGCACGAATACAGTGCATTTGTTTAAAGCAATGGAATTCATAGCTTTTTGAAGTTTTAGTATCGCAATTGCGTCGTCATTGCTATAAAATATATCTGTGTACAATTATTCTTGGCTGTTGTTGATGAAAAGAATATCTAATGGTAGGGAAAGGAATTAAGTGTTATCAGGTATTGCTCGTGATGATATAAATATATACTACATTATGAAACAGTTTTCATGACTTTATATTGATTAGAACTGATTAATATACGCGAATTCAAGAGTAACAAATATCAGCTAAATAACGTAATCTTTAATACCTTATCATTCTTTTCGCATAGATATTTCAATTTCTGTGCTCCTCTGTGCATCAGTACACCCTCTAATCTGCCGGTTGAAGCCAAACGTATTTCGAGGGCTTTTCCACCCCAGCCCATTACTCTGTTACTTCCAATATACGCTATTGATAGTAGAGAAATAGTTATATAGACAATAAATAAACTGTTAAATGTAATGATTCAGGTTTAACTTGCCAACTGATGTTGGAGCTTCTCCCCATTCGACAAATGCATCTCGAGCCCTTCTTCCAGATGTGTCAACGAATACGCCTTGATCTATAGTTTAATTTTAGCAAGATTGTAAGGATACTCCTAAGCCGCAACATATTTTTACTGCTTACGACTATTTTAATTTTTATCTACCGTTATACAAGAGTAACAAGAGCAGCCTCCGATTTTTTGGATCTATCAAAGAGATTAGTAGATCAACCTTAGTGACAGTTAACAATGTTATACAAGTAGAACCTTTAGTAGCTGGTATTACCGTCTACAGTGATTATGCTATGTGGTGCGAAGACTTCTTCCCGCTAAGTAATCCAAACATAATTAAAATATACTTAGAAGTTTTACTTTCAGTAATAATCGGTTTGATAAAGCATGACACATGTAATGTGGAATATTGTCTGTCCTATTGCATGAGAATATTACTTTACCAATGATAGTCTAGGAATATACAGGTCGATAGTTGACCCTGTAGCCATATCTATAGCATGGAAACCAATTTTAGAAGCATAGACTACTTTGATCTGGGATTGTTCTTCTTGAACAGTCATACTGACAATTCGCGGAGAGTAACTTAAATTTGTAAATGACTATAAATTATAAAGGAAAGGGTATTAGGATAACGCAGAATAACAATTACAATGCTTTCAAACATACCTTAAAGGTCATAAATTTATGAAACGGTTTCGGAGCCCAAGCATATATTTCGATACTGTTTCGCAGTGCAACGCATAAAAACTTTATTTGATCGTATTTTACTACAGAGTAAAGAATTATATTTCATTAAGTAAATAGTGCTACAAATATCGGAGGGCGATTACCACTGTACCTATTTTATAATAAGTGCATCCTTCTAACTCTCCAACGGAAATAAATCCTCTTTTCGTCGTTTTATCCAATGTTTCATCGCCTTTTTTCAGAATTTTAGCCTTCAAATATGATAGGAAGTAGATACGCAGTTTGTTCTTTTTTCCTAGAGTAAAATGTTATGTTTAATTAAATGGTGAAATGCTCTATAGGGTAATAGGAGAGGTTATAGAAAAAAATAATCATCTCGAGTAATCATACCACTTATAGAAATTAGAACGTTCTGGCCCTCCATGACGTCTATCTGTTGAAATCGCCTCCGAGTAATTAAGGGAAATACTTTTCCATTTCCGCTACGATCCAAAAGACTTAAACCACTATCAGTCCCAACTAACAAGTTTACACCTAATATCATTTTTATTTATCACATCGTTAATCGAATAAATTTCTGTGTAAGATAATTTTGTAGAAGGTTGTAACGGATAACCACTTACCCCACAAAGAAGCGCAAAGGACTTCATTGTAAAATTTTTTCTTAAATTTACTAACAAGTGGGGTTTCTTCGCTCTTAAAGAATAAACATGCACGTACATATTACTTGATTATTAGCCAACAGCTGGTAAACAATGTATCACAATGTTGCGACATAAAAAGCTTGCCAAAGCGTTTTAGTTCAACAGATTAGAATCTAGCTTACCCTAATAGTATTGTATCCATCAGCACCTGACACTATACTCAATTTTGAATTATTTTTTTTGAGCGTATTGTCTGATGAATCAATCGTGCTGCCGGCACTACCCAGACTGTCGATGGTGTTGTTGCTACTACGTTGAGCTTCACTTTCGGTTACTTTCAAAGCATTAATTCTTTGCATTAATTGCTGAGAATCACTTGAGCGATTGCTGCTGCTATTACCACCTCCGGTTCCTTGTTTCTTGGGTGCAGAAGCTGGTTGTAGGGGCCTTCCCATATTCTGAGTTCCATTTCGAAGTGTTGATGGATTTAATACAGCCATAAATTCTTCCTATGATTTTGGAATATACCATATTTAAACGCAATATACAGTATAGAAATAACGAAAGATGTAATAGCAAGAGGATATTGTCAAGAATATAACTGGCACTGCTTAACAGACCGATCTAACAACTTCCGTTTCGCCTTCTTCGGAATTACCTAGCAAAGGTTAATATTGTGTAATTATTTACTGAGCAAATTAAAATTTACATAGCAGGCTTTTAATTGGTTCACTTCTAAATACTAAGTATAGCTTACCAAGCAAGTTGCTAGTAGGTCCGTGATCATAGCCTTCGTTATCATCGTCGTCATCAGACTCCATAGGCGATTTCATTATATTAGAATGTGGAGAGGTTACCGGCAACTTTGTAAAATAAAGATGATAATCAATCGAAAATACTGTTTTAAAAACCTTAAAACTGGGTAATTTTTACTTCACGACATCAATACACACATGTGACGATGAGGGTGTAGTCACTGAAGCAGAGGCACTACGTTCTCTTGAGACAGGTAACTTCTGTTTTTGTCTTAATTCGTGAATTGCGGAATCTTCTTTTGAAGCTCTTGGTGCTAATGTTATAAGTTTCGCGTTAGTATATTTGTCAAAGGAGGTAAATTTTTAAATTAATGATTATGATTAGCCAAGCACGACCTGGTTCGTCATCAATTCTATCATTAGTTGGTTGAGTGCTAGCATCTTCGTCGACGGATTCACTTAGCTCGGGTAACATCTTTCCACCTTGCATAAGAGTCAGATTTCGAATTAATGTTGATCCTCCAGGGGCTGGAATGGGAGATGCTTCATCTCCATTATTCTCATTTTTCGACAGGGTATCAGATTCTTCTTCGTCTTCTTGTTCATAGCTAACAAATCCGTTTGAGTTTCCTCTTTCAGCGACTTGCTCGTATTGTTTCCTTCTCAAACGATCTAGATAGTCTTTAACTTGTATTCTTGTGTGTCTCGAATCAGGTTGATTGCGAATAAAGTCATGCTATAGTACCAATAACGAAAGATTAATTTTAAGTTCTATATTAATTACTCTGATAACAAATATCATAATAAGTTTTAAGATAACTTTGTGATAAATGTTACATAGCGCAAATATCATTTAAAATTCTATCAACGCTTGTAATTATTTTTAAATAATGAAGTTGGGTGATCACCGTGGCTAAAATTATTTAGCTTCTATGATAACCCTGATAGATAAGGTTCATTTACCTGTAACATATGATCAGTGGTTGGCCTTCTAGTATAGTTCTTGATTAAACAACTGCCCACAAAGTTGACGAAACTTCGACTCCTAATGAAAGTTGATAATACAATGATTGTTAGTAAAAGTAAGATGTGTGTTCGCAGTTAATGAAGTTATATATTGGGGTAAACTTTGCTATGAAGCTGTTGTTTACCATCTTCTAGGTGATTTCAGTTTTGGAGAAGGACCTCTTAAGATCAGGAATAGAGCCCTCATTGGATGGACGTCGCATAGAGCTATTAATAAAGTAGCAGTAGAATGTTTTATTTAAGATGCATTGCATCACCCAGATAAAAATTAAACTAAATTAACACTAGAAATTAATATTATAAATCTCTACTCATCAAGTTACTAACGAGGCTGACGCTCAGCCATTTCAATAGCTGTAATTCCAAGGGACCAAACATCGCTCTATACAGGATTCGGTAATTATTTATTAATAAGTGTAAATAGACAAAATACCGGCGTATTATAGTAATTATCAATGTATTCATTGTTGCATCTGATACTTACTCTGTGATCATAAGAATATGCTGGTTTATCGTTACATGCAATGACTTCAGGTGCCATCCTGTAATAGAGTGATAAATTTGCATTACTAATACATAGTAACAATGATAATTTAAAAGTAAAATAGAATCTATACCAATAAGGTGTTCCGATAAATGTGTTTCTGCGTCCGACTGTTTTATCAAGTTGAGCACTCACACCAAAGTCGACTATTACGGACGATATAATATCATCGTTAATAAACGTTTTTGTAAATTCATAATTATACTCTCAGATAAACAAATTATCTTTACTATCAGTCATCTATAAAACTGTACTGTACCTAATTTTACGTCAGCATTCTCTGTTAGCAAGATATTTTGTCCTTTTATGTCTCTATGGATAACTTTGTGAGAATGTAGGTAACTCAGACCCTAACAATTGATTATTGAACATAACAGACGATCTTAGATTAGTAGGTGAATAACGTTAGCGACGAAGATTTCAGAATCTATAGTTAATATATTCACAGAATTTTAGTGTTATGTAATGAAAGAATATAATAATCTTTAAAGGTTAACGAAGATAAGAATGATTTATTTCATTTAGAATAATGAATGAAAACGGGTCATTAGCATTTTTTATAGCTTAAGCTGATACTACAACGGATTAATCGTGTAAGTATAAACAACTCTTACTTGTAAGACTTCTTGACAAATATAGGCAAGCCAATTTTCTTTAAGTAATTGCTTATCTGATCCTGTTATAAATATAGGGTCAAATGATCACTTCTATGATAAGACATATCGCTTTAAATCGTAGTCCCAATATGTAATCAGGACGTGCATACCTTTGACTAAATCAGTGACCGAACCTGCGCCGCAGAACTCCATCACAAGCTATCAAATCACAATCGAAATTGTTAGTACGTAACGTTAAACTACTAATTGCAATTTTTAAAATACAGACCCAAAGTTGACTTTCACATCCTGGCGAGCCTTGTTTAATGAATGCTCCATAATACGTTGCGATATTCTTTTGATTGGAAAACTGAACAGTAGCAATAATACTCGTTGTTAGATTGTTACTATCAGAATCGCAAATACCGTACGTAAAGAAAACTTTTATTGATGATATTTAAGTCAATAAATTTCTATATCTTACCCTCCTTAACATATTAATTTCTAGTTTGATCTCTTTCTCTTCATCCTACCGAATAAAGGATAACTAAGACCGCAGATATGACAATCTCATATTGTACTATACATAAAATATTACGGTAAACTATATTCAAATATTAAGTTTCGCCCATCTTTATTGCTGCATTGATACTATACTGAGGGTGTACGGAATACCGTGTAACCAGTATTTAGCGATAACACAACTTAATTCCTTTGCAGGCATTTAACTTTTACAATTGTAATCTTGTGCAAGGCGTTTGTACTGTAACTGGAGTTTAGTAATGGCACCATAGTGCTTATATACCTTCTTTATTCCCATAATTTTAATAGCAGCTAGTTTTCCAGCTTTTCGATGGCGGCCCTGTCATGGTTAAAAGAAAAATTCAATTCAAGTGTACATACGTGTATATAGATACCTATAGCATGCCGCCATCGATGGGTACGTATTGCTATGAGGAAAGTACTAGCATTGAATGGCTATAAGTACGTATTCAGGAACCGGAATACTGTACTATCTTTTAATATCAACTATCTTTTATTAAGTTTCCCTTTCAACCGATGATGTATTGTATTGATTAATTAAAGTTAATTATCGATTTACTGCCCATTACCTTATATACAAGACCATAAGTTCCTCTGCCTACAATTTCCATGAGTTCAAAGGTATTGGCAGGGTCCTAGTATGACGAAAATACAATACATTTGATGTTAACGAAAGTAGCATTCGCTTTGTCACAGATAAAATATATATATTGGCACTAATCTTGTTTCTATTTTGCAATAGAAGTTTTCAGCAACCAATTATAATACGAAATGTGTTTACGTTCTACAGTATTTCCTGTAGCTAAAATATGGCGTCTTTCTTTACTATTGCTATAATGTTAGCTTGAGCAGCAATATAATTCACCTTCAAGTCGGATAGATCGATGTCACGATCTACAGCTTCCTTGCCGTCCATGGCGAATAAAAAATTCTATCTTTATCTTGACAACAACAATTACGTCGATAATCGATAACGAAGTTGAGTTTAGTGATTTTCCCTAAGTTAAAAGATAAACTGATTACATTCATTGCATGGCAAGTTAACTTTATATAGTAAGAACTAGTTGGATCAGCTTTTTAGTTGCTTTTCAAGCGCCCGTTTAAGAGATCAACAACTATGGTGTTTTTTGTCATAGAGTATGTAACAACAATATAAAGTTGAATAGCGATCAAATTAGGATAATTAATCAAAGCTTCCAAAATGGTACAGCGGTTGTAGGATAACTGATTACTTTTTTACATCCGAGTAGTTTACTTAAGTTAACAGTGTTAAACCAGCGCTTACTTTTGGCTAGAAGCTTAGGCTTAAAAAAAGCATTTGTAAAATTAAATCGATGTCAGTACTGTACAATTTGACTTCATCTTACGTAAACTTTATTGAAGAGTAACATTTACCAGACTATGACTATACAGTACTATACTATCAGTGATGAAATGAGCGCTGTGGAATGTTCCATCGCAAAGCGGTTACCGCATCAAAAGAAACTGTTACTTTTTTGTGACCATAGTATGTACTGCCAAGTCGCCGATAATTATGTGCTGTAATAACACTATCAAAACTATCATTATAGATTACACTGATCATGGTGTTACTATGTCTCCGGTTCTTACAAAGTCTGCCATAACAAGTGTAAAGCAATTAACAATTTGCTAAGTTGGAGTATGTTTCTAGCTCAATTTTAAATGACTTGGATTGGTCATTGAGACAGAAATGCATCATTGACTTTGGGCATTATTTTGTTTCTGGTGAAAAAGCCATTATGGTTTCTAAATTGAACGCATATGAAAATTGATATTTTCCGATAAGTCTATGCCATTGTATGGTCTTGGAGTTAGGTTTGGTGTACAGTATAGTGCATGGTAGACTCGTTTATGCATTCATCAAGTGACTGGATATAATATAGTGGTGTAGCAGGCAAGACGGAGCGATTGCGTATCAGCGGAAAGGTCGGAACTGGTTGAAAATTTAGCCAACACCAAACAGCTTGCTCTTGATAATTTTATACCGAAAAGATAATTAATTATTTGTAACTAGTTTAGACAAGATGTGATGATCACTAGCGGTAAGGCGCACCCTCGAGACTACCGTAGACTATGCCAAGACCTAGACACAGATGATTGCTCTTGAACGAAGTTAATATACTTTACACATCTGTGCCATGATTTCCATTGATAAGAAAATCCAGTCGGCGTTCACTCTTAGTTTTTATCCTTTTAAATTGTGATGGTGTACTATTGATAATATTCTATAGGTATCTACGTTTATTGCATTTCATTAAGAGTCTTCAACGAGATATCATATAGCAATTGTAAAATTGGATTGTCTGCTTTAGCGCGTTACAACAAAGCTCTAGTTGTTATCATTACCTTGTTTAAGAAATCAAGATTTTAGTGCTCTTCATTTCTTAGCGACCCTAATTGGCATGGATATATATATTACAGCTACTTCAACAACGTAATCGGCACGGTATAATGTACAAGATGTTGAAACTTCTTTTCCTTGGCAGTCTTAACTCTTTCGGCTAGATGAGTAATGGTGATTCTACTCTATTTATTTAACAAGCAGAAATCAGCCAGATAGCCAACACCAACCTTTCCAATCCAGGTCTCTATGGCCTCCAATACGCCACAGTGGTAACGGTATACTGAACCACCAGTGTGCATGTCTACTGTACAGTACAGTAGCAGAAGTGCTGTACACAACCGTATGGCATTTTGAAGATGTACAGTACTTGAGTACAGTACAATGCGTTTTTGTACTGTACTGTACAGTATCTTTTTAATGCGTAGCGGCGGAATACAGTACTGTACTGTATACTGTGGTACTGTACACTGTACAGTAGATCTAAACATAAATGCGGACTACTGTCAATGGCGAAGTGATTTAGAAGTACTCGGTCTAGTTTACTCAATGTCTTCCTGAGTTTGTAATATTAAAAAGTCAAAGTTACAGTATCAATCCGCATAAGAAGATACAAGCAATAGTAGAATGGTGATTAGTTACTTAAATTTGAAATAGTTATAATCATTTCCCGATATTACCGCTTGTATATACAGTAGAATTTGGTGTATAGTCAAGTAGTCAATCTAGACCTGACGTCAATCTAAGGGATTGAGCCAAAATCATTTAGGACTCTTGAACTTTGGACAAACTATGTCCATGTTAAACCTACGTTATCCGTTAAGCTGCATACAGTGCAGTATACTATACAATAGTATGCGTATAAAATACAGAGGAGTCCAAAATTGACTCTTTCAAACTTCAGTATTAGTATACGTCGTATAACGAAAGAGCTGCAAAGGTTCAATTTTTCCAATACATAATAGTGAAACATGGCATACAAGAAAAGCGCTGTATCTCATCCTAAACACCGTTCCAAGATGTCATACCTCAAAATGACAAATGACCATTGATATGTATCTTACATGTTAGCACTATATGTTATCCATCATCAAGTAGCGAAATGCTGATGATTGCGTGTACAGTAGTTTCGAAAGATTTACGTAATCATTAGTAAGTATATAATACGAGTAGATAAAGATCAAACAGTCGAAATTTTACAAGACTGATAAAATTATCATTCGTTAGTTCCTCTTGCTAAGATAGAATGGAAATAATGAATGATATATCTATAAGAATCAAATAACATATTAACAATTCAGTAGATTGCTTATTGTTTACTGATATCGTTATCTTTATTTACAATCGTATAATCGATTATCTTATAGCATCTTTGTCAAAGCCATACAATGTCATATAATAACATACACGAATACGTATATATGGGGATGGTGTACAATAACCATTTGTGGTTATTCCAGTAAAATTTGATGGTGATCATGTAGATAATTTAATACCTCATCTTTGCTTCGTAAAGAACAGAAAAATTCTCTATCAGATTTGCAAGTAATTTTTTCTAACATGAATATTAGATGACGATGAAAAGGAGTAAAGTGAGTTTCCAGTTCAGAAGTAATTCGTACGAAATCTTCCACACAGCATATAGGGGTTTTACTATATCCAGCATATAAGGCTGGATTGCGAAGAATACCTCTAGCTGACATGACGCCATCGACATTAGTCTTATCATAGATTTCTTGGGCATCATCAACTGTGAATACATTGCCATTTGCAATGACTGGAATGCTTACACTATCTTTGATTGTCTTAATAGCATCGTAGTGAACAGGTGTATGCTTTTCAGAGGTCGTACGTCCATGTACAGTTATCCATGAAACACCCGCAGCTTCAGCCTTTCGACACAAGTCCACCGTGGTATTAATATCATTATGAATTCTTATTTTGATAGAAATTGAGAAATTTTCGTTACAAATTTTCGATCGCGTATGTCTTACCATTTCCTTCACCAACTCGGGATGATTAATTAGATGTGCGCCGTAACCTTCATGCATAGCCCACCTCTGTGGACATCCGCAGTTTAAATCGACACCATCTGCGTATGGAACAATCAGTTCTGTTGCATCCGCTAAATCGAATGCATTACTAGCTGCAAACTGGACTATCAACGGCCTATCGGATGCAACCGTTGTGAATTCGCTAGCACGAGCTTTTTCTGATTTAATAAACGACTCTGATATAATCATGGGCGTAAAAGCGACATCACATCCATATTTACGGACTAAACTTCTAAAAGGCAATTTAGAATACCTAACCATAGGAGCAGACATATACACTAATTTATTACTTTTTAATAGTTCAACGACAATATTTTCTGCTTGCATTGTCTTTGCTATTATCAAAAATCGATCTGCAAAAGTCTTTACTTGTGAGTCTAGATTTTCGTAAAAAAGAAAGTTATGTGCTTATAAAAAATTCGGTACAGGTACAGTACTACTATCTTGCTAAAGGCTGGGCAAGTATAGAAGGCTACTATATGTGTACCGAATGGAATCCATTAAATTGCTTCTTAACTTAGTCAGTCAGTTTACCTATATCGTAAGAAACCGAAGAGTAATAATATAATTCTATATTATTTTCTTGTGCAGAAAATTGTTTACAATTACTTCTGTAATTTTAAAGTCAATCTTCTAGATGTATAAATCAGTATTAAATGTAAAGCATGTATTACACGTATACCAATCGCCGGCTAATAGTAAAGTATTGATACCGATAGATTAAATTTAATGCAATATTCTACTCTATGATAGAATAGGCTATATAAATTAGAGTTCTTCAAGGAGTCATCATTATCAGCAAGTGAACGATAGTTTGTATAACACGAGTTGTAGTTTTTACACCTGTGCAGTATAACCACCTCCGAATATCGTATTGCCACTACTATTGCCTTACTCACAATAGTCCTACAGTAAATACTTGTTATAATTTAGCACAAAGCATTATAGAGTCTGCTATCTTGCGATAATACTAGACGATACATTTTACCAACTTGTAGAACTAGCAAGTTTAAAATAATTCTTAAAAAGATGCAAACTTTTATGAGCATTCACCATAACACATAGCTACAGCAGCCATAGAACGTGCAGAACTTACGAGTTTGTGACAAAGCATACTTACAGTTTGTAAAGATATACTGGATGTCTGTCGATTCTAGTAGTTTGGTTACGTCAGGACTTATTCAGTAGAATGTGAATTCAACTTGATTCAAATGCTGCTATAGTAAATGATACTTCTGTATTCGTCTTATGACTGAATCAGTGGATTTTCTCTAAATTCATCATACGATTTGTTGGAGTAAACTTGCCATTCATCTGTGGCTGCGTTTTATCGAATGGCTCGCTTCTAGGGTATGAGTTCGCAATGAATCCAGTCCAAAACTGATGTCATTAACCGTGACTCACTTGCAAAGATAGGGACTAGCAGAAGATGCCATACAGCACTGTCATAGTGACATCATTTTATCGCGGATAAGTCATGTGACATGAGTTATCCAAATGACCGTGTACCGTAAAAATGATCGTACAGTACAGTACTGTACTGTAAGTCTGTACGACTGTACGTCCAAGTCAGGAGGGCCCCTTCTGCCACTGATTTTCACTTCCCTCCCCCGCAGAACTCCTTGCGAAGACTATATAAACCGGTGATCTCACGCTTTCAGTTTTCAGATCTGTTGTGAGGATCTATCACAGCAGAAGCGGGAAGGGAAAAGAGAGAGTTTTTGATTCATTTAAAGGATAAAAACTACATCGAGGGACATTGAATAGAAGAAGAGCAATTCCTTTGAATTAACAGACTGTTTAAGGTTGCTTTCTAGCATACGAGCAAGTCCATTTGTATTTACGGTGTCTTTGGAAAGAGGGGCTGTTAAAAAATCAAAATGGCGCAGCAACAGCAAATTATTTCAACAGCTCCAATAAGGAATATCAACCGAGTTCAGTTTGGAATTCTTAGTCCGGATGAAATTGTAAGTTTAGGCTGGCATGTTTTCCATTTCTCGTTGATTTGAATGTGCAAATCTAGCTAATGGGCTCGTGGGTTGTAGAAATTTCATTGCTGTTTATTGCGCTAGCAGAGTAGTCGTTATGAACGTGCTTGTCTTTGATCTTTTGCACTAGTTATGAACAGCCGTGATGTACTAGTGCACACGCAGACTAATACTTGCCACTATTACATGCATACTACTGAATGTGCACTATAGTAGTGAAGTCGATACAGGAACACTACTAAAGCACAGTACTGTATATTAATTAGAACTCTAGTATCTTGATTGACTATCATTAAGAATTGACCGCACTTAAGTGCCATCATTCATGAATTCATTTACCTACCTACATACCAGCATACACAATAAGATTAGATTAGTTAGTACATAGGAAGGATATTGCTGTTGTAGCCGGACTTTTCTCGTTTCAAAAATGGACTTACATTTAGAGACTTGGTTTTTTGAAAAGTACAGTACAGTAGTGTGGATGCCAGACCGCAGCTACTGCTGCAAGTTAAGGTAGTAGGTAAAACGCAGCAGCGTGGATTGCTACGGTATTAGCCTAAATGGTCTTGTCGTGAAGTATTTACAGCCATTTTTGACAATGTAAAAACATCGAGAAAACTTCGTGTTGCCAATAGATTGATGAAATGTTTTTGAAAGGTTTATTGACCTGTTATTATTCACTAATTGCAGCTACAGACTGATATGGAATATTCTTCCTTATTTAGAGTTATTGATGAGGATAATTATACAGTACTTGGGTATTGAATATATTTAGATATTTTCTGCTTTATATTGACTGTTTAGAAACGAATGTCTGTGACACCAGGCGGAATTCGATACGCTGAAACATATGAAGCAGGCAAACCGAAATTATGTGGTTTATTAGATCCAAGACAAGGACCAGTTGATCGTAGCTCAAGATGCCAGACTTGCGCGGGTACCGTTAATGAGTGCCCTGGTCACTTCGGGCATATTGAACTAGCCAGGCCCGTATTTCATATTGGTTTCTTGGTCAAATCAATCAAGATACTTCGTTGTGTATGCTTTTACTGCTCTAAGCTACTCATAAAAAAGGTACAGATTGAAATCTGTATTCTATTATACGTTCGAAACTATTTCTAAGCTGAGGAATTAAGCATAAAATGAAATGTACTATACAACAGATACAATTTTATGTTTATACTACGTAACGTTACGTAATAGAATTGTTACATTACATGTTGGTATAAAGATCTTTACTGAGTATCTGCTGACCATAAATCTTGCAGTTCATCTAACATATTTCTTCCTATTTATTCGTTTTATGCTTTACGATAGTCTGATCCAAAGGTCATCGATATAATATCTAAGACACGGGGCAGACTAAGAGTAAGATTGCAACATATATATGATCTATGTAAAAGCAAGAATATCTGCCAAAATGATGATGGCGAAGATGCAGAAGGCTTAGATGAGAAAAAGGTAGCTCTTGGTGTAATTTATATAAATGTGCGAGAGTGTATACGGATTCGGATATATACTTGATATTGCAATGTATTTTTCAATCAACGCGCATAACACAATTTGTACAATTTATTATTTAGGAACATAGTGGATGTGGACGCCATCAACCTATCATTAGGCGCAATGGATTAGAATTAACTGCTGAATGGAAAAAAATAAATGAAGATTCTCAAGAGAGAAAAATCAATCTAACAGCTGAACGTGTCTATGAAATATTCAAACGTATATCTGATGAAGATTCTGAAGTACTTGGAATGGATCCACGATTTGCTCGACCCGATTGGATGATTATCACATGTTTGCCAGTTCCTCCTCTACATGTTAGACCATCTGTAGTGATGCATGGCTCTGCAAGAAGCCAGGTAAAGATTTTATTCAAGTAATCTGAATGTAACGTGTCTGATTTTAATTCTTGATAAAGATACTGTAATAATGTATTAATATGTATATCTTATAGGATGATTTAACGCATAAACTGGCAGATATAATCAAGGCGAATAACAACCTGCAACGGAACGAAAGCTGTGGCGCTCCGGCTCATGTTATTACGGAAGATACTAGAATGCTGCAATTCCATGTTACTACGTTAACTGACAATGAAGTCCCTGGAATGCCTAAGGTATTATTTTCTGCCTAAAGTTAGCTTTTACCGGTATGCAGTGCATTTCATACGCTTCTTTATTTAGGCAATGCAAAAATCTGGGAGACCGTTGAAATCAATTAAGCAAAGGTTAAAAGGTAAAGAGGGTCGTATTCGTGGTAATTTGATGGGAAAACGTGTAGATTTTTCTGCCCGTACTGTCATCACGCCGGATTCAAATCTTGAGATTGATCAAGTTGGGGTTCCTCGATCTATTGCTCAAACACTCTCATATCCTGAGATAGTAACTCCTCTAAACATTGATAGGTAATAAAAAATGTCGCTATATGTAGTATACAGCATACTGGTATACTCGTATATTTATTGGGCATTTCGATTAATGTATAAAATGGGTGAATGTGCGGTAACCTTTACCAATTCATATTAACGATTTTAAAATTTCTATCGGTAGGATGTATGTATTAGTAAGACGAGGACCGGATCACTATCCCGGCGCCAAATATGTTATTCGAGAGTCGGGAGAACGGATAAATTTAAAATTTCGTGCTTCCCGCGATGACTTAACGTTACACTTTGGCGATAAGGTTAACTATGACTTGGTTTTAACATTTCTCTCGTCTTTAATTTTATGGGTTGCATTTTACCAGTGACTTGACTTGATAACGTATTGTCGAATAAATTATACTGGTAAGGTGTCTATTGTAAAAGAAAAACTAAAATTAAGTAATTACTTGTTATATAGGTCGAAAGGCATATTCAAAACGACGATATTATCGTATTTAATCGTCAACCTACACTACATAAGATGTCTATGATGGGTCATCGAGTGAGAATATTGCCATGGTCAACATTTAGATTGAATCTTAGGTAAAAATCGTTTGATAGTATATGTAAATCGAGGATCAAGTCACTTTCAAAGTCAACTGAATCTATGATAAGTGCTATTTTCCTCGAATATTATCCTGACGATCCTATTCGCTGGGGGTCCACTACTCTTCCGTACCATAACGGTGGATGATCTCAGACACCATATCGTCGACATTAACAATCACTATGCTACGTGTATATCGCAAATTGATTGGATATTGTGATTTATGAAGTAAAATTTTATAGATGTAATATCTTACAATGCCTGTATTTTAATTTTTGAATAGTGTTACCACACCTTATAATGCTGATTTCGATGGAGATGAAATGAATTTGCATGTACCCCAGTCGTTGGAATCTCGAGCGGAAATAACAGAGATTTGCATGGTACCTCGGCAAATAGTGACGCCACAATCAAATAAACCCGTTATGGGTATTGTGCAAGATTCGCTAACGGCAGTACGCAAGTTTACCATGCGAGATGTCTTCTTAGAAAAAGTAAGCTGAATAGAATTGATGTAAAGTAGAAAAAGGTTACGATTAAGTATGTATCGATATTTTTTAGGAAGTGGTGATGAATTTATTGATGTGGCTCCCGAATTGGAATGGGAAGATGCCACAACCTGCTATTCTTAGACCGAAAGAGTTATGGACAGGCAAACAGATATTCAGCTTAATTATACCAGGAAATGTTAACTTAATCAGAACACATTCCACTCATCCAGATGACGAAGACAAAGGTCCATATAAATTTATTTCTCCGGGTGATACTAAGGTATATGTTAATAAAATAAACGCTTGCCTCGTACAAGTTTCTACCTTGTAACGAATTATTAATTGGGATCATTCTTACTGAATAGGTTCTAATTGAACACGGGGAAGTTATTTCTGGTATTTTATGCAAAAGGACACTTGGTACATCCTCTGGGAGTTTAGTCCATGTCATTTTTAATGAATTGGGACATGAAGTTGCCCGACAGTTTTATGGCAATATTCAGACCGTAGTCAATAACTGGTTATTGATTGAAGGTCACAGTATTGGTATAGGAGACTCAATTGCAGATGAAGCTACTTATCAGGATATTCAAAGCACTATACTTAAAGCCAAACAAGATGTAGTTGAAGTTATAGAAAAAGCCCATAACGATGAGCTTGAACCTACACCTGGGAATACTTTAAGAAAAACTTTTGAAAATCAGGTTTGTGATATAATAATGTGCTGCATAGTAAGTTGAAAAATTGACTTACTTTCAACTGTAATCGCTTTTAGGTAAATCGTATTCTTAACGATGCTCGAGATAAAACTGGAAGTAGTGCCCAGAAAAGTTTATCCAATTTTAATAATTTTAAAGCTATGGTTGTTGCCGGATCTAAAGGATCCAAGATTAACATTTCTCAGGTATAGCTATACGAAATTGGATACAATTGTTCAATGTGCTTGTCATCTGATGTATGTAGGCATTATAGAAGTGAAGGATTTATTTAGATTAAGTTATCCCTTTAAAATAGGTTATTGCTGTAGTCGGACAACAGAATGTGGAAGGCAAGCGAATTCCGTTCGGGTTCCGCCATAGAACTTTGCCCCATTTTATTCAGGACGATTATGGTCCAGAAAGTCGCGGATTCGTGGAAAATTCATATTTAGCTGGTTTAACACCAACTGAATTTTTCTTTCATGCAATGGGTGGTCGTGAAGGTTTGATTGATACAGCAGTTAAAACTGCTGAAACTGGTTACATCCAAAGACGCTTGATTAAAGCTATGGAAGGAGTGATGGTGCATTACGATGGAACTGTACGTAATGCTAACATGCAATTGATCCAGCTATGTTATGGAGAAGATGGATTGGACGGAAGTGCAATTGAATTTCAAGATATGCCGAGTTTGAAGCTATCGCACACTGGTTTTCAGAGACGTTTCCGTTTTGATATTCAAAACGAAAAGTAGGGACTTAATATGACCTATACTGACATTATTCATTTAATTTGTAATTATTAAATTGTTTCTATGTGTTATTAGGCGCCTTAAGCAATACTTACATGGTAATATTGTAAGATCAATAATCACGGATGCCGAAGTTAAAGAAAAATTACAATCTGAATTTGAGCAACTAAGCAAAGACAGAAATGCAGTTCGAAGCATTCTCCAAAATGGCGATAGCAGAGTTGCTCTGCCAGTAAATTTAAACCGTCTAATTTGGAATGCACAGAAGATTTTCCACGTCGATCCTCGTAAATCGAGTGATCTCCATCCAATGAAAGTTATTGATGGTTAGTGGTGAATGCAAATAGGCAGTTATTTATTATCTGTTAGATGCTTCTTTCTTTCTATTAAAGCTTGATAAATTTACAATATTAGATGTTTGTGAATTGTCAAGGAAATTAGTAATAGTCCACGGGGAGGACAGGATAAGTAAACAAGCTCAAGAAAATGCTACGTTACTGTTTAATATTTTGCTACGATCTGTATTGTCCTCAAAACGTGTAACAGAAGAGTATCATTTGACCTCTGAAGCGTTTGATTGGCTAATAGGGGAAGTAGAATCTAGATTTCAGCAATCTCAGGCAAGTGATTTTTTAATGTAAAAATACGGTATCTGTGGGTGCCATGTCAAAATAAAAATTACATTTTAAAATTTTTTGATTGTTTTATATAAAGGTACAACCTGGTGAAATGGTTGGCCCTCTAGCAGCTCAATCCCTTGGTGAACCGGCAACGCAAATGACACTAAATACATTTCATTATGCTGGGGTATCGGCTAAAAATGTAACACTCGGTGTTCCTAGACTAAAGGAGATAATAAATGTTTCCAAGAAACCGAAAACTCCATCTTTGACTGTCATACTTACAGGACCTGCTGCTAGGGATGCTGAGAAAGCAAAGGTTTTTACCAATACATAAATATTTTCTGCATTGATAGTTGACAATTACTTACCTTGATTTTTTTCACTCTACAATGCAGGATGTTCTTTGTCGTTTAGAGCATACGACATTACGTAAAGTTACAGCAAATACTGCAATCTATTATGATCCAAATCCCAAAAATACCGTTATCAGTGAAGATCAAGAGTTTGTCAACGCTTACTATGAAATGCCTGATTTTGAGCCATCGCAGTTATCGCCGTGGTTGCTACGTATAGAATTAGATCGAAAGAGAATGACTGACAAAAAACTAACTATGGAACAAATAGCGGAAAAAATCAATGCCGGATTTGGAGAGGATTTAAACTGTATCTTTAACGATGATAATGCCGAAAAGCTTATTTTACGAATAAGGATTGTCAACAATGACAATAAAGAGGGTGTTGATAGAGATGAACAATGGGATAGAATGGATGATGATGTATTTTTACGATGTATAGAATCTAATATGTTGAGCGACATGACTTTACAGGGAATAGAGCAAATATCTAAGGTATACATGCATCTACCCCTTCAAGACAGTAAAAAACGAATGATAATCAACGAGGAAGGAGAGTACAAAGCTATTCAGGAGTGGATTTTAGAAACTGATGGTGTTAATTTGCAAAAGGTATTAAGTGTGAAAGACGTTGATGCTGTCAAAAGTACTTCTAATGATATTGTCGAGATTTTTTCTGTTCTTGGAATTGAAGCAGTTCGTAAGGCGGTTGAAAAAGAAATGAATCACGTTATTTCCTTTGATGGATCTTACGTCAATTATCGTCATTTAGCTCTGTTGTGTGATGTCATGACATGTAGAGGCCATTTGATGGCTATTACAAGACACGGTATAAATCGTCAAGAAGTTGGTGCTCTTATGAGGTGTAGTTTCGAAGAAACTGTAGATATATTGATGGATGCAGCATTCCATTCTGAGACAGATTATTTGCGTGGTGTGAGTGAAAATATAATGTTAGGTCAACTATCCAAAATTGGTACTGGATGTTTTGATTTGCTGTTAGATCCAGAAAAATGTAAAGATGGTATGGAAATACCAGCCAATGTTCCAGTTGCCGGTATGATTAATGGGGTTGGTGCTGGAGTTTTTTATGGTGATGGCGCTGGAATGTCGCCGCAAATGACGCCTTGGGATTCTAGTCTGACCACTCCAAGTTACGAAGGTCCGTATACTCCTGGTATGGGAGGCGGTATGACTCCAGGAGCGGCTGGATTTTCTCCATCTGGAGCTTCAGAGCCAAGTTTCAGTCCCGCTAGTTACAGTCCTAATTGGAGTCCAGGTCCAGCGGCTTCACCTGGCTCTCCAGGACCTAGTAGCCCATACATGCAAAGTCCAAGTTATTCTCCTGCAAGTCCGAATTATCAGCCGACATCACCTTCTATGTCGCCTTCCAGTCCATCATACTCACCGTCGAGTCCAAGCTACTCACCGACTTCTCCAAGTTATTCCCCTTCGTCTCCGTCATATATGCCAACGTCGCCAAAATATTCGCCAACATCGCCAAGCTATTCACCGACGTCTCCAAGGTATTCTCCGACATCGCCAAGTTATTCTCCAACTTCTCCAAGGTATTCTCCAACATCGCCAAGTTATTCACCAACTTCGCCAAGATATTCACCAACTTCGCCAAGCTATTCTCCAACATCACCGCGGTATTCCCCAACATCACCTAGTTATTCTCCAACATCTCCGAGTTATTCTCCAACTTCACCGAGATATTCACCGACGTCACCAAGTTATTCACCTACTTCGCCAAGTTACTCTCCGACATCGCCTAAGTACTCGCCGACATCACCGAGGTATTCTCCAACTTCTCCGAGTTACTCTCCGACGTCTCCATCTTACTCTCCGACTTCACCTTCTTATTCACCAACGTCGCCATCATACTCTCCTACGTCACCGTCGTATTCTCCGACATCTCCGAGGTACTCTCCAACTTCTCCGTCGTATTCTCCAACATCTCCCCGGTATTCACCAACGTCACCGTCGTATTCACCAACATCTCCTCGGTATTCACCAACGTCTCCATCGTATTCACCAACCTCTCCTTCTTATTCTCCAACTTCTCCTTCTTATTCTCCAACATCACCTGATTACAGTCCTAATTAATAGTTATTATACTGTCATGTTTATATTGTATTGTATATTTGGTATAATAGCAATAAGACATTAACTATATGCAATTGGTTGTATTGTGTCTTATAGGCAGTTTGTATGACTGAATTAATTTCTTGATTGTTTCGATATCAATGATGTAAGAGAGAAGTTATCTATGTTAGAATAATATGTCTTTATCATAAAACCGACTTTCGTTTCAGGTTAGGCAATTGTATGACAACTGCTAATTCTAACTACAGTTAATGTTATTGTATGTAAATAAAGTACCAGATCAAACACTGTATGTTTAGGCAAATAAATATAAATTTTTAAATTCAATTGCGGATGTGCTTTCTTGCTCAGCTATGCGGGTAACGTGGTAACGGGATACATTTCAACAATTATGTCATTGTCGTTGCTTTAAAGCATATTTTAATGGACAGCAACGTAATTTTAGATATAATACTCTTTCATTTCATATCGGATTTTGGAGGTCAATTCAATTCCTGTATCAGTGATTGTAATACTTTGTATTTGTAAAATTGTTGCAGCGTAACAGTATCTACTAGTAGGTACACTTATTTCGAAATTTGATAATTGCTTTCTTTACGCTACGATTACGTCATTTTATTGACCACAGTAGCAGATACTCGAGCAGTTTGAAACTTTTGTTAGCTTTGGAAGTATAGCAGCTGTACATGTAATCAGTCGGCTGACGCCAATTTATTTCTTACAAACTAAAGCTAATTGCTATATAAACCTTCATATGGTAATGTACCGACCTACGTATGTATTTACTTGTTATCAACGTTATCACTCTATTTACCACTTTAACTAAAGCGATCGTTAATAGTGAGCTTAACACACAACGTGTAACAAATTAGCGTTTGTCTGACTCATTTCCTTTGATATCTTTGCAGGTAAATGATTAATTTATTATTGAATTAACACAGATATTGTATTGAATCACGCCGTTCGTGCTTTCGACATACGCTATAATAAATAACTGTTACATCAATTTCATTTCTTTGATAGCGTGATTTAGAGCGTGATCCATTGGAATGTATATCTTGAAGACATAGCAGAGAATCAATATTAGTTTTGATCTGCATTTAGCCCACAAAAACTACTGATAAACTTCAGTAGATCACATTCTTCAGATTTATCAGAGTATATCCTTCATAGACTGGCAAAAGAAGCTAGATATTTTAATAATTATTATCTTGCATTTACATCATAGAGAACAGAAAGTCGATAATGTTTAGATACATTTAAGATGGGATATGTAACAAAAGACTACGGAATTTGTAATAAGGAAATAAATCACGCAATGGTTTTTATGGTAATTACTAGGAGACCGTGCATCTGATTACATCTAAAACCATTGCTCAAGTTGAAGACATGAACTCGATGTTTGTATGACCATGTAACTTTTTGATAGGCCGACTGAGAGTGTCTTAACTGAGTATATAGCCACCTCCAGAAAATTCCAAATGCTAAATGTGTAAGAATTAAATAGAAAAATTTTAGCTAGCACCATTTAAGAATAATGTCATAAGCATAGCTTTAATATACTGGTATATTAAAGTAGTTCGATGGAAGGATGTTTAGTTTACTTTCGATCATACAAGTGCTTGAGAATAATTAGCGAGATTAAAAAATGTAATCATAGGGCATTGACTATAATTATAAAGTATGCCAGAACAGCGTTAGTATTCACCTTTGGAGGTTGCATGAAAGCCAACCAATCAGAGTCAGTAGTGGGAAGTAATCCCATAGACGAACATTTATATAGCGCCAATGCCAGTGAGAGTATATTGGATAAAACATAAACCATCATTTGAGCAACAACCTGGCTTCCTTCAAAATTCTCTGTAACTATGAGTTCCAAGCAAACAGCATAAATGTTAAGAGTAATCAAGCATTGCACATTAAATTGCGTGTCATGGCGATACTATAGGTGAAAAGCTACTATGGGATATTATTGATACAGGATAAGCTATTTAGTTGAATTAGTATAATTAAAGTTATAGTAAGCATACTGGAGTTAATGGATAAGATGGCTTTAATTGGTCGAAAGAGCATCATTCCAACCATCATGACTGGAAATATTGAAATAGAATCACCAGACATCCACATAATGAAAAGATTCATCGGTAGCTGTTTCAATGGTGATGTAGCAACATCCCATGCTTTCTGAAAGTAAAAGTTGATCGAATTTTGATCAGCGAATAATCGATCGTAAAAGTAATTGTGACAACTCTAGAAGGCGGTGTTTTGATGCTAAAAAATCATGACTACAGTATGCTGTACATATCATGGTAGAATATTAATGATGTACATCAAAGTCCGCAATCAATTTATTGCATTTAATAGAGGTAATAGTATCTTACGATCGGTAAACTATCGTAGGCTGTATCAAGCTCAAAACATCATGTCTAATACAAGATGGAAAGCGCTAGATAAATAAGATAGAGTTTTAGCGTATAAAATGGTGGCTGACCTTGGCGACTAAGGCTGCGTCTGATACTCGAGAATCCTATGATAAAACATAGATTACAGATTAGGTGACGACTCGAAAGAACTATTCTAATCCTGACCATACGTTGAATGTAATATCCTTTGGTATTGAAAATGTTGAAGAGTCATTAATACTGAGTAACTTACAGGATCTGTTATCGTCTTGTCTAAATAGCCAATTGGAGATGCTACATCTGGTGGTCGCCATGATGGGTCATTTCTGAAATCAAAGGAATCATATTTTCGTTGTAAGCAATAGCGGGTATAAACATTGTTTCGTCTTTGCAGAAGTCAATGGGTAACCGAATATGAATAGGACAGCTTTTTAAAACTTGAGCGTTTATCAGACCCTCATGAATGCTACTGGAAGGGGTTTTTGGAATGCAATCCAACACAGTATTTGTACGTAGAAAGACCATAGAATGTTGTACAGTATACATACATACATGTCGTGTATGTACTGGTTAGCCCTTCTAACTCTGGCTAAGTGGAATTGCGGATTAGGAGCGGCAACTACGAAACTTTTTTGCTGGCCAAGTTCAGTTGTTGGTACTGTACTCAAGCGAGGCAAATTGTAGTACAAGGCGACGGTATACATTTCAAGTGTTCTTTATTTATGAATTTCTACGTGGGCTTGACTGGTATACGATAACCTCTACAAGATCAATATACAGTATCTACTTCTACCATTGAGTAAGAAAGGATGGATTTATTAACATTTTCATATATCATTTTAAACATGCTACAACTGTAAATATACGCCAGTCTGCGGCATATTCAAGTCATTTCTGTTGATCATGCATCTCTCCATAGGGCACTTTATGATGTATTTCATAGTCGACTCGTTCGCTTGAACTAATGTATTCAATCCGAGGCTAGAGTAAAATTCTATCAAGTAAATTAATCTTAAGAAATAGAGTATCTACGTTCGAAACCTGTTTGAAAAATCCAGGGACCATTTATGTCTCTTTCCACTTCTTGAAGCAGCGGTGGACGCCATTCTCTTCGGGCTCTTGATGGCACTATGGTGGATCCAGTCCGGTACGGTACGAGTATACTGCGGGTACAGTACAGTTCATTTGTACACTCGTACCGTACCGGACTACAGCATACAGTACTATACAGTACAGTACACTGTACTGTAGGTTTTCTTTCTTTTACTGTACAGTACATACTGTACACACTGTACAGTACTGTACTCTACAGTACACTGCACAGTGTACAGTGTACAGTACAAAGAATTGGATTCACCATTTAAAGCGACAATTACTTGGTTAACCCCTGCCATGCTCCGTTTGAAAGAGACTTGTTTAGCTGGATCCTCTATTATGCATCAATGCATACAGGATATTGTAATGTGCAAAATGACCTGACACCCATAGGATTAAATGGAGGAAGCACTGCTGTACAGTGTGCAGTACTATACTTCTTCAGCAAGACCGCAAGACATAGTTGTTGATCCATGGACCTACAAGGAAAAGACCTCTAGAAAAGACCTTCTAAAAGGTTAATCGATCTGATGGAGTTAACGGACTCCTGGAATACGGTACTATAGTCCGGCGCTACTTGGAGCCATAGACTATGACTAAGAGTGATGTAGTATTGAATGAATAGTAGTGTTATGTATATAGTGTATACTGTACCTTGGAACACGAAACAGCAGCAAAGCGTATACTATACTGTACTGTACACTGTACACTGTACAGTATATTGCTCACGCACGCGCACTTCTGCTACATTACCTCATCACGCCATAGCTCGCGTGGCTGTCCACTTGCAGAATTTGCCACTTGATCTCCATTATTTTTTCCAGTGGCTGCTAATTCCGTGATAGAAATGGATATCGTATAGATTCAATGTAGAAAGGTTCATTTGGACACTAATTTTGGGCAATGATTTGATATTGGAAGCGAAACCAGCCTAGTTGAAAGGCTCTCCAAAAGAAAAGCGACAACCTGGCCTTCCGAATCTTGCCGTGTCCTTGGTTACTGCAAAACTGCAAGACGATTTGCAAACCATGTGGTAATGGCAGAATTTTTTCGAGCTAAATGTACATCCTTATCAATTGATTTCGCGAGACCTATTAGAGTCACCGGTATAGTTTCGTCAAAGAAAAATCTATAGTGTGTGCTCAAGGTCTCGTACAGAAACGCTGTTTATACCACTTGAAAGGATAATTCATGAACTATTCAAGTTGTTCTAATCAGCTACATGTACATTGACAGTAGACAATTTTATTTGGTTTTTGCGTGATACAACTTGTAGAATAGGCATAGCTAGGGCACGCATTACTATAAATTTCTAGTATTTCGTAGCTAGGGTGTTCCCTTACGTCTGTCATCAACACGAGCTACGGGTAAGCTGCAGAAAGCTAACAAAACTATTTTGGATTCTTTATGCATACTAGATATGAAAACGCAAACACGTCTCGGCCATGTGCCCATTTGGACACGTTAGACCATCAATATCGCTAATGACACAGCAAAGCAACAATCTGTAAAAAGCAGTAAATAGGCTGATAGACTACGATGTGTAAGAAGTACAGTGGTATTGGATGGTTAAGGTCGGACTTCACCGGAAGCTAGACAGAAAGTGTGCGATCATTGCGACATGGAAGGAATCCGTATGTGAGACTGTTATGTCTGCTTGTCTTTCTTCATACTCTTTGTAGTCATTCTCATGGAACCCCTTTGCAATTCTTGATCGGTTTTTCAGGTTTTTATTCAAATTTTTCCATCCATCGGATCTGCCGAATTAATTGAAGCGATGGGCTGCTCGTATCGGAGCATCTGTGAATGGTTGGTTTTTAGTTTGGCAGCTGGATACCATGGCGTTAGATGTTGTCGTACTCGTTTTGAACTTCGACTTAAACTTAGAATGAAGATTTTGAAGAGACATGACGAATTTGCTGCTCTGTAAATTGATGCTCTGTGTGATCATGATAGATTAGCAGTCATCTCCTACAGATTCTCATAAAGAAAACTTAATAAAGGGCTTTGATCGAAAATGACTAAACAGTTTCTTGAACGTCTTTGCAGTTACAATCTTGCATCCTTGATCTCAATGCAGTAAATGATGTAAATATATAAATGTCAATCATACAAAATGGCGGCACGTAGTAGATATATAACAGATACACACAGTAGGAGAAAGTTGCATTCCGAGTCAAAGGCCTTTGCTTGGATTTGCTATTAAAAAGTTTATATTGACTGTAATTTAGACTTACTTTGAAATGCTCTTATAGTATTTGTTATCCCTAAGACTATTCTGATCTTGTGATTGATAGTAATGTTGAGACTGGGTGATTTAGAATAAGAATAACTTGATTACGTAGATAAAAAGGTTACAGAATATTAGCAATAAAAAGGCTATCGCTAGTAGTAAAAACGTTTGTCTAGTAATCTCTACTTAGCCAATCTGGGAGGCTTACTTTAACTCTCTCGCTAAGACCCTTTTATATGATTTGGGCCCATCTTGTTGGTCAACATATTTCAACCAAATTGGAACGCAATTATTCCCATACATCGTCGCTAAACAACGTTCTCGCGACCGATCCAACATAGCGCTAACAGAATGTCTATGATGATTTAATTCTAATGCAGATCATCCTATTACAACTCTATACCCGTATTTTGGTTTTATCCGGGATTTAGTTTAATTTCCAACTTGTATACTGCGAATCGCATTATACTCATACTAGGCATAGGATAGAAAGCGGTTTTGGAAAGGAATAATTTATGAGAGTAGATGAGCCTTTCAAGCGCTTTTCTACTCCCTAAGACTGATCAGTTCAACACCAAGCCAGAACGCAGACATACAGTGTGCAATAGAGAATTCAGGCCGATACTCATAGACAAGCATTAGCATAATTCGCCAAATAGTAAACAGCAATCCTAATGTCTAGCCTGCTACTCTCCAATTCGATATAAAGCAAACATTTATAGTAGCTAGTAGGGATTGATGAACATCTGCTAAAAGTACTGGCCGAGCGTAGCACTGTACACTATACAAAACCAGCCGCAGTTTAGCAACAGCAACAACACCTAATCACCGCCCATACTGAAGGCCAAAACTGTAATAATACTTGGACAGTTGGCACTGTATTGCAAGACCGTATAGTAGTAACAGGTGTAAATCGTAGCAGAGCTGATCATTTTTTTTCCCCTTGCTTAGTTTGGCGGTATGGCTTCCTTGTTGCACAAATTATCCAGATTACCCAATCGGATTTACCTTCCATCAGTAAGAAATGGTCTTGCCAGCAAGAGTCGCAACCTACTTATCTATAGGGCAGCTTCAGATTTAGCCCATTTGGAATCGGTAAAACAGAAAATTGACAGCAAACGTCAGAGCGCTTTGCTTGGCGGTGGTCAAAATAGGATCGATGCACAACATAAGAAGGTATGCAAAACTTTGGCTACAACCTTCTATTCTCATTAACGAGAAATATCCAAAGTAGTAGGAAAACGATAGAATGGTCAAGTAGTAGACAATATTGAACTAAAGATGGAAAAAATATCACTAAAACAGTATCGTAAAGTTGCTCTTGAACATGGCTGGTCGTCATCATCGCTTTCATCATATCAACATTAATCTGTGACGTGCTTCCACACAGTATTTCATGATGTAGAATGCTTTCCTTATGTGCTACAAGTGCTACTGATCAAGTTAAAATTACTACTTAGAAACCAGAAAGTCATCATTTGCTCACAGCATGACATAAATTCACCAGTTTTACTACCGTAGCCATTACTAATACATCGAGTCTACCAACTACAACATAATCCAATTACATTTAACCAGTCTCAATTGAATCGATGCTTATGTCTTACCATGTTTATAAACTTTGAAATGGCTTTATTATAACAGGGCAAGCTAACAGCAAGAGAACGATTGGATTTGTTACTAGATGAAGGAAGTTTTATTGAATATGACATGTTTAGTGAGCATGGCTGTACGGACTTTAATATGGATCAAAAGAAGGTATTGCATACAAATTTGACTCTATGTGAACGGTATTTGCAGTATTCCATATTTTAACCACCTGCCCATTGCTATACTATAAATCAGATGTGAACATTAAAGTCGAGATATCTGAAGTAGCAATCCAGTTTAATGACATAATACTCTACGTGTGTAATAGCATTTTAACCAACCTTTAATTTTACTATACACTTTTCAAAAGAAAGCCATAATGTATTCGTACATGTATCCTATAGTCTACAAGAACATTTGTTAGACTTAAGAATAGGCCCAACTGTTGGAAATTTGCTTCAGTTGTGGCTAACATATTGGGCGCGATAGTGTAAATTGCAATACCCTGATCATTTAAACTTCTCAACTACGACTGAAATAGTTGTATCTCCTACGTTAGCAACAATCACACTATTGAATATCTATGACTGAAGATGATAGAAATACGGATGTTGTTTCTGGAAATGTCTTCATGCAGTAATTACTGCAAGTTAATTAATTAACAGGAAACTATTTGCTAGTGTAATGATCTTCCTCGTTAAAAACCCTGATATATCTTCGCTCAATATTAGTATTACTCTTCAAGCACTAGTATAAGTAGAGGTAGTTTAATTCTGGGCTGGAGAGTTATGATTTTATGTTACAGGATTATCTTCAATTAATACGTATATACAGTATATATATATATATTCATAACTACATAAGAGCTACCTTAATCGTATGAATAAAACTTTTAAAATAGAGAATAAGAAGTACTAGCTACCAGTAAGTAGTGAATTTGTCTCATGACTCCCTTCTCATGATAAACATGCAATGCTCATATTTACCTTCTGTTATTTATCTGTTGTGATTAGTTTACCGGAGATAGCGTTGTAACGGGACAAGGACGGATTAATGGCCGAATAGTTTTTGTGTTTAGCCAGGTAATGTAGCTCTAGTCGAACTAGTTTTATAATGGTTTACCTTGTCAACACTTAAAAAAAATTCTATGAATCTGCTGTAACCATGAATAAGCTGAATGTTGGTAACTATTTTATTGGTAGATTTACACTATTTAGGCCTCCTAACCTTTTTCATCTTTTTACTTAATTATAGGACTTTACCGTTTTCGGTGGAAGTCTCTCCGCTGTTCATGCCAGAAAAGTTTGCAAGGGATACATTTAATATTTTAATTAAGTAATGTTTAAACGATAGGCATTGATTGATGAGTGTTGCTTGCCTTGCTTACCGTATGCAGATTATGGATAAAGCTGCAACTGTTGGCGCACCTGTAATCGGATTGAATGATTCTGGAGGAGCTCGCATCCAAGAAGGAGTAGAATCTTTGGCTGGATACGCCGATATTTTTCTGGTACTTCAAACTTAATTGTGATATCAACAACACTGATCATAAATTGATATTTATGTATTGTAGTTACCAAGATATAATTCATTAGATTGAGTTGCGTTCACTGTCAATTAACTAATCTGCAATAATGACGAAATAATTACTTGCTTCCGTTCTTGAAGCGTAACGTTCTAACGTCAGGAGTTATACCTCAAATATCTGTAATTATGGGGCCGTGTGCTGGTGGAGCTGTCTATTCACCAGCTCTAACTGATTTTATTTTTATGGTCAAGGTATAATTATTAAGTAGTGTATGCAACTGATTTATATCGCTAGATTATGTTAAGACATGCAACAGCATGAGGCTATACTTCATAATGCCTTTTATCGATCTTATCTAGAGCACTTCACATTTATTCATCACTGGTCCGGACGTAGTAAAGGTACCTTAACGAGACTATATTGGTATTTACAAAGGAATTACAGAGAAACTACATTTTACCTTTATTTTTATAGTCCGTAACTAATGAAGTAGTAACGCAAGAAGAGTTGGGCGGGTCAAAAACTCACACCGCCCTGTCAGGTACTAAACACGAAGAAGTCTACAATTTCGGTAGTTTTAGGTGTTAGATTTGCTTTTACATATCATTTTTCTCATATCTTCAGGGGTAGCTCACAATGCCTTTGAAAATGATATCGATGCCCTTGCAAGGTACAGTATTATCTATCCTATCCATCTTAATTCTTTATCTGGAGAACAATTGATCATTACATTTAATCAATGAGTTATGGTTATTCTCTTACCCTATACAGTGGTTTCTGTTAAAATATTACCCAATTTTTCTTGTAGAGTTCGTGAGCTAGTTAACTACTTGCCATTAAGTAATAAAGATGCTGCTCCTGTTATTAAATCGGACGATCCTGCGTATGTACCTGGCATTAAATAGCGATTAATTTCATGATGGCATATGAAAAAAGTCTTGTATTAAAAATATTTATGATCTTGACTGATGTACAGTGATCGAATAGTGCCTGTCCTTGATTCCATTGTTCCAGCCGAATCTAACAAACCTTATAACATTGTCGATATCGTTGAAGCGGTAATAGCTATGCTATAGATGATGTCGATATTTCTGCCTGCTAAGTGCGATATTGACTAGATTTTTATTGTAGATTGTTGATCATGGCGATTTCTTTGAAATCATGCCGGATTACGCGAAAAACATTGTCGTAGGATTTGCTAGGATGCGTGGTAAAACCGTTGGTATTGTTGGCAATCAACCCCTTGTAGCGTCGGGTATAATTATTTCATTATATGAATTAATAATATTATAAGCATAGACTAAACTTTCTCACTCATATTCGTACTTTATTAATTATCTCTAAATTTATAAGTTTTGCTTGTAACATTTATAAATTGACGTTTTTAACAGAAAAATTGAATAGTATTGGATGAAATTGATACTCTTTAAAACTAGTATTTATTGTCTAATAAGTATAAGCGATTCTCAATTATTCCTAGGTTGTCTGGATATTAATTCATCTGTAAAGGGAGCTCGATTTGTGAGATTCTGCGATTGTTTTAACATTCCGATTATCACCTTTGTTGATGTACCCGGATTTCTTCCAGGTATACATCCACTGCATCTTATCTTTGTAGAACTCTTATTCTCTGACTCTGTGATCCAATTCAGTAATTTTAACAAGATGATAAAAATAATTCTCACTCTTATACCTAGGTACCGCTCAAGAGTACGGCGGTATCATTAGACATGGGGCTAAGTTATTATATGCTTACGCCGAAGCCACAGTTCCAAAGATTACCATCATTACTCGCAAGGCTTATGGCGGCGCATATGATGTCATGAGCTCTAAACACCTTCGAGGTGATACAAATTACGCATGGCCTACTTCTGAAATTGCCGTTATGGGTGCTAAAGTAATGTTATCTATTGTACATTGAATTATCTTCTGGATATACACATGATAAGCATGTTCACCTATTAATAATACTTTACAGAGTTCATCAGTAGTCTAAGCGTTCGAATTTTTTTTTAGGGAGCGGTATCTATCATTTTCCGAGGTGACTCTGGTAAGTTGGCTGTACTAATGCCTCATAGCTAATATTTACAGCTGATTAACAAGTAGAGAATCTACAGATTTACACATACTGTGACATACGAGTTTTTCACTCGTATTCAAATTTTAACATATTTCTAATTTACCTAGAACAAGCTGAACAAGAATATATCGATAAATTTTCCAACCCTTTCCCTGCAGCTAAACTGGGTAAGTCAGATTGCGGTACTGTATATCGTTACAATAAAGCTTCAGTTATGATAATAGGAAGATATTTTAATAGCAAAAATATTACTTGGAACATTTCAATCCTTTCTAGTTTGCGATGAAGTAAAAGCAATCAACTAAATTCGGTATGACTTTCTTTATATTAGGATTTATTGACGATATTATCGAACCTCGGACTACTCGTACGCGTATCTGTCATGATTTAGATATGCTCGCAACGAAAGATCTATCAAATCCCCGAAAAAAGCATGGTAATATTCCTTTGTGAAGCCTTCTAAGGTTAAATTTTATCCATCATTATAATGACACGATTGGATAACGATGGAGTATTAACACATTACATGGGGTCATCCAATGCTGATTTACTGGCCCCATGACGGAAAGCTGTTGCATTTTCTTTCATTGAAATATAAATATATATATATATAATTATGCAGTAATTATAGATTACAGTCATTCTGATCTACAGCAAATCAAAGGGATCAGCGTTCCTCATAAATAAAGAGATTTTAAGACAATTCGATTTCATAATCATTTATTAAGTGTGTCATCCATACTATTATAAGATTTAATACATTAATCGTGAAGCGACTAAAATTTTTACTAAAAGAATGACAATTTACGAGACCCAGAGGTACAATCCACATTCTACATACTACATCCTCAGCTATAGACTATTCCATGATGATTTGATTGATTTACAGTATATATTTCAGTTGATGTAATGGTACACGTATTTTGATACCATATACGAATTCGGGGAGTATGCACGTACGTATTTCAATTCGATCTCATGCATGAAAGGGCAAATGCAGCTACTGATAAGTACCGTAGGATCTTTCAGCAGGCATTTTATCTTCATTGACAGTTTGTTGAGTAAATGACTTCTCTTGCATCAGAACGAAAGGTAGATAAGTCTATAGAATCATTAAAACGAAGCAGTAGCTATCAATATACATTGCCCTAATATATTTTACAAGAATATATCTTACGATTTTTAGTAAAAAATGCGCAACAGGCGAACTTACATAGTTGCGACCGGAATTAGAATCTTCTTCTGTCATGTATTTCTATGGCATTAATTGACTCCGTTTTACTCGTAAGCAATTAATAAAATCTAAAAATTTTATTGATATTATGTGAAGGTGAGTTACCTTTTTAGGAATGAATCTTGAACATACATTGAAACCAATTACTCCAAAATAGAATACCAACGATATAATTAGAATAACAAATGTGAATACAGATCGAGCGTCAGCCGTACCTGGGATGAAGTAAAGAACATAGTGAGAACAAGGAAAACACGTAAATTTAATCTTGCAGACTTCCATTGTCATACTTTACAAGCAGAGAAACAGCAATATTGAGTAGGTATTAGAGACAATATCTGCATTAACACTTACCTATACGTAATATATTATAAAATAAAACGCATCCTAACATCATAATGGTTCCAAAAACTGAGAAGGAAATAGCAGTATCATGGATTTCGGAATCGTAGTAGGCAGTCCGGCTTTTTACATAGTACATATTGTATTTATCCGTGTAATGTTTTAGAACTAGATACACTAAGCCTATAAAATAATAACGTTTTCATAATAGTTAATGACATTGTTAGAATGCAACCACGAATTTGTTTACTCAATTTACGCAAGCAATAAGGAAGCCTACCAAAAGGAGTAACCAATGGGCAGCTAAGACTATAAATAATCGCAATTGTGATTGTAACTAATATCCAAGAATACTGGGAACCAAAGTCAAAACCCTTCTCTTTCTGTAACAATAAATTAAAATAGTTAAAATTATTTGTAATCATATACGTATCTAGTATAATTTTTTTTAAATTAGTAAGTATCTATAAGCCTGTTAGCAGACCAATTTTAGCGTTTCTCTTTCAGGTGTACTTTTAGTAAAAAGCATTTTGAATCCCAAGATAACCATTTCCGGGAGTCTCAATATCTCAGACGCGTTACCAATAAATGCGGATGTTATCAGATAATTTACAAAAAAGGCCCCATTGTTTGCAAGAAAAACGCACCTAAATATAACGATTATTCGGATACAGATAAAGAATAGAATTTGATAGCATTTTATTCATGAAATAATTAATCTTGTTCAATGATATATATATCAGCGCAAGCACTTAGCAAATAAGAATATTAAATACAAAACTGCAGGTAAATGTTAGGTGTTATCGAAAAAATAATACTACATAAGTAATTAATCATTAGCTTACTGCAATTGAGTCAGAAAGGTTCCTCGATCAAACGTCAACTCAAAGAATGCTGCAGCGCTATAACAACAAAGTAATAAAATTAAATTAACTAGAGTCGGTTAAAAAAGTTACGATTGGATGTCAATATTTCATTCGTAATCACATAATCACTAAAATCTTAAATAAATAAGAGACAGTTTCAAAACCTTGTTAATGCCAAAGACGGAAGAATAATTATCATAAATAGTAGAAAGACATAACTTTTCACCATAACAGCATACTCAAGTTGGGATCTAGGTTAAAAAATAATTTCATGAGGGGTTAGCAACACATCTTTGCTTTATCCCATATAGAAAATCTAATGGCAAGCTATATAAAACTTTGAATAACATAAAAGTAATATAATTACTTTTTAGTGAATACTTCGTATCCACTCAAAGTGACTACAGTCAATGGCAAGAGTGACCCAATAGCCCACAACATTATGGTTGGAAAAACTTGGGTGACGAAGGCACTTGTAGAAGCAGCAAACTAAAAAGAATTCAATGATATTAGCAGGATAAATATTTAGAGCTTTTGCAATACATTGAATTTTAAAAGTAGGTATTTACATCTATCTTTAGTTCACGGAGGCCCGCTAATATGATTGCCGGCGTAGTCAAAAAAAGAAATATGAAGAATAGCGCTGGGGAAAAGTCAAACAAATAGTAATCTTCAGTTAGTAAATAATTTAACTTGATCTATTAGTTTGTTTTGAGTAATTGACTTCTTTACCAAAGTTGGTTAAGATGGATTTCATCCAAGAAGTCGCTTTATTAGTGGAAAAGTTTTCCCTAAAAATGTACGCGTTGAAATTAATAATGACAATATTGCTATTAGCAGAATTGAGAAATATTATTACCATATGATATTTGCAGGTACAGGGGCAAATTTCACTTCCCAGCTGTCTGATTTTAACTCGCTGGAGTATTGCGAAGAAGCACGGGATCTTGTTTTTTTTAAAAGTTTATAATCATCTACAATACTAATCCATATATGACGTATAAAAAAGTAAGGTGAGACACAATAACAATAGTTGAATTGTATCTTATTTTAATTATCAACCATTTAAGGCACTAAGTATAATTATTAACAAAGTGAATATTTAGTATATTTTACATGTGAGCTGCAGCAGTAGTTGAAAGTGTAATAAACGCAACTCCTGTACTTCTTGACAACACCCGCTGTAATTCTTTGTCGTAGTTAGATGAAGCTAATTCTAAATTATTCGTATAGTATGTGATCCCATCGGCCTATCAATGAAATTGTTTTAATTACAAATACGTACATTCGTTGAATGTTAACTTGAACTGAAGTATGCAATACGTTATTTACCTGCTTACAACCCCTACAATTACAACAGGTACAATAGCCAATCATAGGTCTTTCACCAGTTGTATCATACTGGCGTTGACAAAATCTTAAGCAAGCTCCGTATAAATGCCTGAAATTTCATAACGATAACATTATAAAATACACAATACACGTCAACAACCATTTTATCAGCTTTATATGCATACTTATCGCGATAATATTTAGTTAAAAGCTTTATATCGTAGGCAAATTCAACTGCCGTAACTTGACATGCATTATAAGCTTCCCTGAAGAACGAACAATTGTAACATGTAAATACATTCAATTAGCAATTTTTTCGTAACAGTAATAGCACAGTATGATTAAATTTTTATTCGATTATGTATCGAAAGTTAAAAAATAATGTAAAAAACATTGCAAGGCATTAAATTTACCAATATCTAAACAACGGCAAAACTAGGAGAACTTACTCGAAATGTTGCTTAATCAAGTTTTTATCAGTAGTATTTTTGGGTAGTCCTCTTACGCAGATGGTATTGGATGACTGAATGGGTATATTGAATAAAATACAGCATTCAAAGTTATGGATTATGCATAACGATTATATTAAAATCATTGCGAAAAAATGTATATCTAGTAATTCAAGCTCAATCATTTCTATCGCCAGTCTTACCATCTCATTCCTCCTCACTCCTAACTGAGTAGAATATCGATACATCAGGATAATATTTATTAGTAAATATAACACAGCAAAAACTGTGTGCAGCCAGAGGACTGGTGCCCTATTTATAAACGATATCGGTTAGCTGAGATAATAAATAAATAATGTGTTAGACTATCAATAAAATGTCTTGACAATTGACAGAATTGATTTAAATTTAGGTAAAAAGAGTAATGGGACTAGAATAAATTAGGATAATAGCAATGTAAACCTACAATTATATCCTACACGTAAATATGCATTAGCAAATAACCTGGGATTGATATTCGTAATTGTTGTAGCATCAAATTTGTCTTGGCTGTCTACAATTTTAATTTGTATCGAGGATTAAGAAATATCTTTGCTATTAAAATAATATGAAATTTTACAATTCATTAATTTCTTCCTAATGAATTAAATATCTACCTAAAAGTCCTTGAATATTTACAGGCAAAATAATGCCTATAGAGAGTACAGTATATACGACTAGCAAGAGTATCATATATTGTTGAAAGATGAGATAACGGACGGAATCTGCTCCGCACTTTTTTTCAATATCTGATAGCCTGTAATATATTATTAGCAAAGGGAAATTTTCAACAAGCAATCTAGGTATCTTGTTATAAGTACAACTTGGAATTGAGATTAGAACTTAAACTAAAAATTAAGAATTAGTTTTCAACTTACGAAAGATGAATTAAATTGGAAATCCAAGAGAACAACCACTAAACCGAAAAATAAAAGAATTATTAGCCACAAAAGGATACTCAAGGTCTATCATTGTAGTACCAGTTACAATACAAGACTACAGCAAATTGCTATACTGTATAATAATGTGTGCAATCAATCTAGCAGTATGGTATTGTCAGTTAATTATATTAATATTCATTAACTAGCTAAAAAATACGCGTATACAGATGTCATAAATCGAGCTAAAGCACAAAGAAATCGTTATCCCTAACGTTAATTGTGCTTCTGAAATTCGATTTAGGTGCGATAATTGTATAAAGTTGTAAGATTTTAGCGAAAATCAGTAGCTGTAAGTTCTGTCTAATCAGTTATTTTATTTTCTATGACATTCAGTACAGTAAAAGGGAAGAAAACATTACAAGAGTCTTTATACTCGTATGAAATAATGATTGCAAAGCATCCTAATAAAGATTTCAATGAAGACGTGATGCATAGCAACGCTAGCGATGCAGTATCGTATATAAACGATATTTTTATATGTCATTAATAATTCTAGGTATATGTCTGCTGACTTGTTAAATTTAATGACAAAGTTGGTATGATCTGACTTTAAGGTGACATTGTTTTATGGGGTACTTTTATATTCACTTTTAAAAACTTTATGTCTTGGATGATTGTAGTACAGTCGATAATGTTCATTTTTTGATTACACGTAAATGTTGCAAGATTGTGATTGATTTTATAACATAGTATTCGTAATGAACTTACTTTGTTATTTGCTGTAGGCGATCCGTCATTTACTGTCTGATGTTGTAAATGTGAATTTTCTCCGTTATTAATTTCACTATCGTCTGTTTTTGTATCTTGCTAGATACGGTAAATGATAGATTGATACTGAGTATACTTACTTCAACGAAGGTTTGATGTAAATACAATGCGATAAATTGAGAAAGAATTGTCATCTCATTATGCGTGAAGATGCGTTGTTTTAATAGTCATTTGAAAAATTAAAAGTGTATCACAGGGATAACTAAAAATGTAATTCCTGTGTAATTTTTTTTACATCGCAATATCCAAATTTTTCAACAACGTTTTATCAACTATTAATATTAAGAAATTGAAATAGAAGGGCGCTCACAGAGTACGTCAAGTTTGTGGAAGCTTCTTCCACTACCACTTATTTACTAGAGTTTGTATTCTACCTTGTACAGTATGTGCTATAGAAAAGCTAAGAAAGCCCAATTGACGTAAAAAGTGACTATGTTGTTTGGAAGAGAATGATCTGTTTGACTTACAATTGCTCCTTGTGGACGAGTCACTGTGACCACATCAGTATCGTTATCATCTTCAGTTGGTTCATGTACCGAGCTATAAAATACATTAATCCACCTGTAATTATAAAATTAGGATTAATATTAGAGTGGGTTGGTACTGAATGAAACGTTCAAGCATATCAATATGATTGTTTCCTATTTTAAAATTGCTAATCATAATAAGTGGAAAAAAGATCAAAAATTATTGCATATTTTTTAAGTTCGGTTAAGATTATTATTATTTTTATTTGCATCATGTAGTATTAGTAGTTTGGTACTCTTTTCGGAAAATTATCTTTAATACTTTTCGATGACAAAATAGATAGATACAGTCGAGTAGAATATAGATTATTTATTTTTAACCTCCTATCAGCATCTCCTAGTAATGTTTCATTGGTTTGGGAAGCAGAGCGACGCAAAATGCTAAATATTAGCAACATGATCTATAATATGATGTGGTCAAAAATGTAACAAGAAGCAGTTTAGAATGGTATAAATTTACAAGCAGTAGAAAGGGGCTATTCTAAAAGTATAAAATGTTCGATAAGTACTGGTACTTGATTAAGAATAAGCTATCACACTCGATCTACTCATCTGTGTCAAAAGCTACAGTCTATGGAAAATTGTGTAAGACCACTTTAGCAATACAAGAACAAAGTTGCTCATGCACGTCGGACTTACCACCCAAACGATAAAATTGATCAATAAATTTTGCGGTACTCCTCCGTATACGACATGTCCGAAAATAGAGGTGGCATTGGAAGGAGCATCAACACCACAGGAAAAATTGGAGCTATTGAAAATCACTCCGTACAGAGTATCGTAAGTAGACATCTAGTCGGTGAGAAAAAGCATCATATCATCTCTTCAATCTACTGTACGCTGTACAGTACCATAGTAACATTTTCAAAATTGAGCATTTCTGAGAACGCTTCTTCAGTGACATTAATGAAATGATTTTAGGGTAGATGCTATTCTGTCTTGAAGGTTAGTAATAAGGAAAATCAATCAATATAGAGTACATTAATTTCAAGTAATTTCTGCGCGACATGTTGGCATACGATTGAACTACAGTATCATCACTTTGCAAATTGAACATTTCTGAGAACGCTTCTTCAGTGACATTAATGAAATGATTTTAGGGTAGATGCTATTCTGCTTTGAAGGTTAGTAATAAGGAAAATCAATCAATATAGAGTACATTAATTTCAAGTACTTTCAGAGCGACATCTCGGTAAACTGTACGATTGAACTACAGTATCATCACTTTGCAAATTGAGCATTTCTGAGAACGCTTGTTCAGCGGCGCTAATGAAATGATTTAGGGTAGATGCTATTCTGCCTTGAAGGTTAGTAATAAGGAAAATCAATCAATATAGAGTACATTAGTTTTAAGTACTTTCAGAGCGACATCTCGGTATACGATTGAACTACAGTATCATCACTTTGCAAATTGAACATTTCTGAGAACGCTTGTTCAGTGACATTAATGAAATGATTTTAGGGTAGATGCTATTCTGTCTTGAAGGTTAGTAATAAGGAAAATCAATCAATATAGAGTACATTAATTTCAAGTACTTTCAGAGCGACATCTCAGTATACGATTGAACTACAGTATCATCACTTTGCAAATTGAGCATTTCTGAGAACGCTTGTTCAGTGGCGCTAATGAAATGATTTTAGGGTAGATGCTATTCTGCTTTGAAGGTTAGTGATAAGGAAAATTAATATAGAGTACATTAGTTTTAAGTACTTTCAGAGCGACATGTTGGTATACGATTGAACTACAGTATTATCATGACACGGATTGCAGTGGAAACGATAAAGAGTTAGAGTACTGTTCAGGTTCATCTGGCTAGACTGGATAAATCAAATAAAATAAATAAAATAAAGCTTGTAATTGACCACTTTACTGCTTCATTAAAAAGATTATCACTTTCAAGTTGCTTTTTCATTGAAGGGAACTCTTCTTTATCCATCATAACCTATCATCTAGTGGATGTATTCGCCATCGACAAGGCAGTAGTGGATACTAGACCTGTTGTAGGTAATAGAAGCTGTAGGAATTCTTCTTCTTTCAAGCTGTTAACAATAGCCGAGTAGGGTTGTCTGCCTATCGTACGACTATTTACTTTTAAACATGCTATTCCTTATTCAAAGGTAGAATAAAATACGTCAATCGATGCCACCACTGTCTCTATCGATCTACTAGTACTATTTTCATATATTTGACTGCATTGAATGGGTCAAAGGAAGTATGCATTGGAAGTATCAAGATATTAACTCAACCAATCCCTGGGAATTAACTCTCAATGAAGAAGACTAATTAAATCAGCGAAAATTCATTACAGAGTACACACAAGAGAAAGTGAATAAAGCATAACAACATGGTTTCATTTCTTGTACAGTTATCCTTGCAATCATTGAAGCAACCCCATACTTACGATAGCGGCTAAACTAGAAATGGCCGTTTTACATTCCCTTCTTTCCACTGGAAGATTCTCGATTGCAATCAAAGTCGCTCCCTGTCATGGATTTGGTGGCCAAAGATGAAATGGAGTCAGACCCTCTCTGGACTAGTCTAGTCATCAAGACTTGAATTCTATCGCTTGATCAGTACAGTATAGTGCTTGACCGTTGTGTGCCTTTGTAGGACCGGTGTACCACAATGCGATCAAAATAGTGACATTATTTTTGCGAACTCTAGGTGGAGTATAATGCTATCGATTCGTGATCATGGCTATTGAGTATTCAACTGCGCATACACCCTTGAGGCTGAAACTTGGAGTCTATGAAAGCATACGAGCAAAATGGATGTCACCTGTATTGGACTCCATCATTTACATACTGTACACTGTACAGTATACTGTATAGGATGTGGAGAGCCAGTGTTGTATTGTAGTGTTCTACAGTGTACAGTACAGCTATTGCGCACTGTACTGTACTGTATGCACTGAGGTCCTTTAATTGGCCATTTTGCGATCACCGCCGCCCGAGGTAGTCTATGACTATAGCTCTCTCCTCCCGCTTCTTCCTTTGGGAGAGAGAAATAACAAATATTCTTATCTTGAGGAGTCCCTGGGGACGGAAAGCGCTCTTGTGTACAAAATAATGTTTAGGCCTTCATTTGTCGGTACTGTCCAGTGTACAGTACCACTGTACGGTAGCAATAAAATCATACTCCAATCATACTGCACAAACCAACCTAGCAGCTTTGCAGTTCCAGTATACCCTCTTTCCGTCTGTCCTCTACCGTACCGCAGTCCGGGCTGTCAGTCTGTATGCCAGGACTAGTGTACACGTGACATACATACTGTACAGTACACTGAGTAGAGTCGTTGCCGAGCTGGACTGTACCGGACCGGACCAGACCCAGTTGGAAATTGAGTCTGTCCTCTAGCGTACCGTAGTCCGGGCTGTCAGTCTGTATGCCAGGACTAGTGTACACGTGACATACGTACTGTACAGTGTACACTGAGCACAGTCGTTGCCGAGCTGGACTGCACCGGACCGGATCGGACCCAGTTGGAAATTGAATTTTACTTGGTTTCTTGTTTCACTATAGACACAACAGACAAGCGAGTTTATGACGTAGGGAATGGTGCCGAAGTCAGATCGATAAGCCAGGACTGGAGAGAATTTTCTCTTCATTACAAGTCTCTAACTCCAATTACAAGAGACTCTATTGTAAAAAGATACAACTCCACACCTATTTCAAGTTGGTCCCACCTATATAGCACGCATAGAAGATTTCTGTATCTCTTATTGCCTTATCGAACTGACTATTGTACTGTCCACTAGTGTACAGTACAGTACAATACGAAAGCACCGTTTCATTGATTTCAATCCTTTCTGTTAGTATGGCTAGAAAGCCTATAATGAACCTGTCTTGTCTCTACACAGAACTACTGTAACATGGACTACTCTGGCTAGAGACGAGTATAGCGGTGCATCGAGTAGTGGATGACTATCCTTACTATGCAATATTACTTTTGAAGTCTTATTGTCAAACAACAAAAGTAAAATGAACTGATTCAACTTGGCCATCATGATGAATGATGGCCAAGCTTTTCCACCACAGTTTCCACTTTCCATAGTACAGTGTACAGTGTACAGGGCAAGACTGTCCACACTGTAGCATCCTATACTTTAGACTGTACATGACAAACAATGGAGGATTTAGGGCGTCGCCTTTGTGGGAGTGGCGTCAAGCGCGAAAACGATGATGATAGGTGGAAGTGGGCAAAATGGCAAGACTCCCTCGCACGACATGGACTACTCCCTGCAGTAGGGTGCAATATACAGTCTAGTATATGACATATATGTTATAGATAGACTGTACAGAGCAGCTGTGCAGCAAGCAGTTTGCAGTCACTGCCACACAAACAGTAGGCAGAAGAAAGCCAAATCACCTAGGCCAAAGGCGATCGGAACTTTTCTAGCCTAGGCCATCGAGTTGAGAAAAAAACATAGTCAACACTGTACAACTGAGTGTACAGTACATTGGCTTCAATCAGGCAACAATTTGTACTGTACTGTAGGCTGTAGACTACCATCTTCTGAAGCTTGACATACAGTATATTGTACTGTAGTACCGGTACACCATAGTGGTCGTAGACCTGGGTTCGGTTCGGTCCGGTTCAGACCGTTATCATCTATATATTAGTGGGGTAAAGCGAATTGGGTAAAACCCAAGCCTACTACCATTTGGATGGGAACAAAAAGAGTAGAGATAGAAGGAGTAAAATTGTCTCCAATTGGCAATAATATCCCCGTAGCAAGAGGCCGATTACAGCTGACCAATTAGTTATAAAATCATTTCTCATTTCTTTGCAGTCCATCCATTTCAACCACTTGCGATTGGTGGCTGATCCATCTTCACTTTGAGAGTGTGATCATAAAAAAGTCGTGCCATTCTTTTGCACTTAGAGGCAAACTTCTCCTCAACTGGTGGATTGACGAATGGTCGAAGTTGTAATGACTTCGTCAGATTCTGTAAGTTGCAATGGCTTCAACTAGAACGCATACCATGAAATGTCATCCTTTACAATCTTCGCTTAAATAGGACTTGTACAATTTCATCCATGAAAATCTTAGTGATAATGTTGATGTTGAAATGATTGATGATGTAGAAAGATGAAACAAAGGTGTTGAATCTCTGGAGAATGCATGTAGTGCTTCCTTCATTCTCTTCAACCTTAACCGTAGTAACGTAGTCTGCCTGCTTATGGCATGGCCTGCAATCCACTTTGTATATGATAAAGATAGTCCATCCCAAGAGACAGTAGCAGTGCCCTTTTGCATACAATCAAATCCAATCTTCAATGCCATCCACTCTCTCCAGGAAAGGAAGAATCGCTTACTCACATTCAAATGGAACGTAGTCAAGTTGGACATGACTCAAATGCAACTTTCCCCCCCCCCCTGCCAACTAAAGCTGTCATCAAGATTCAATTGTTCATACAGTGTAGCATATACTGCAGTCCTGTTCAAGACATCGATCGTCACCAATTCATCAACCTTTTTAGCATGGTGGTAAAAAGAAAAAAATTGCCAATTCCACTTAATGCCCTGTAGTGATCGGATTGCAACAGTGTTACCAATAACTTCTTACCTCTTAATCGATCGCCAAAGTATCCATTCTTGCTTCAGTAAGACATGATACTGTCGTGCTAAACTCTTGTCATCAATCCTGTACTATATCATAAAATCCGGAGAGGTTTATCCGCGCCTTTGATGATAAATCGAGCTACATGTCCATGCAATCTCATCCAACTGCATCCACGTGTACGTAGAATCATAAAATTCAATGCTATAACAATTCGTAAAGAGTATCATTTCGCCAGTATACATGGCATAACGCCATGCTATTACACCCTACGTTAAAAGCACACGATCAGAAAGCAGTTTGAATGTCGTCTTGCTCTTCCTACACCACACTATTTCGACCCGAATGACTATTGCCTAACCTTAACAAGAAGTACAATGTTATCATACGTAGTTCATGGCAAAGACTTGAGCATAAACACTCAATAAGAAGCGTCAGGACTGTAGGGTCTACTTATTCATAGCCCTCACTTACCAGTATATTAGTATTCATTAATGAACTCGTCATAAACGGATAATCCTATCTTGATCACTAGAAATTATCGCTGTACTGTAAACCAAGAGATTGCAATCATTTTCAACACAATGTGAACAAGGACGACATTCGGTAGGCCATAATGTCACTCAAAATAACAGTTATGATAGTAGTCTTGACATGACTATACCGCCTATTCATTATAAATTATGATCATCACTCCACTTCTACCTTCTTCATAACTTTATATATACAATACTGTAACATGTTTATGAATAACTGTAAACAGATCTTGCTGACGTTTCCACTCCAGTATTGATAGAATGGAAATGACTCATCCTATCTTGCTAATGTTTCTATTTTATACCGATGTACTAACTTGTTTATTACTATCCTATTAGAAAGCCCATCTCGATCCCGAGATAATATTCACGAAATTAGAAAAGATTGGTAGAGGTTCTTTTGGTGAAGTATATAAAGGGTAAGAAAATTCTCTCTTTTATAACATGACGTATCTTGTAAGGTAAATGAATAACAACACTACGCTTTTTATCGATGTACGCCTATACAGTGTTTAAAAGCAGTTGATAAACTACCATAACACAGGATACATCTACACTATCGCCATCGTGATATTTATCCACCGTCAAATAGCCAATGGATACACTACGATCCTACAGTCAATGATACATATTGATGATGTATGGATACTTGTGTTTACAAAGCCAGTTATAAATTATTATTGCAATGGACTAATTTTTTTATACTATATACCGACTCAAATAGTAGATGAATTGGATAAATTAAGGCAGTAGAGAATTCCCTGCGCGGTAATAATATCGATATTGATCCGTCTATTTAGCCTTAATTAGTATCAGTGCCAATGTTCAATATATACAACTTTTTCTTTGTATTGAGATATGTTTAGTGCGCTCGTTATGCTATTAAACCACCATTCATAAAAAGTATTTGCCGCAAGTTTAAAGCTGCAAAATGACGCAATAATTTGTCAAGCTAGCTACCAATCTATTGTCAGGCTTATAATTGTACATTAATTAATGTAATTGATAATTGCCTTTACTCATAGTCTACGTAGCATAAGATAGTTCGCTCAATGATGACAATGGATAATCCAAATTGATTGATGTGAAATTTTCTTATTATAAAATTGCAGTACAATCCAACGAGCTGACTTTCGTAACACTAATCGAAATCTCTGTGTATACTACTCTATTAAGCATTACGTAATTCTCTATCACTGCCATACAGTAAAACCTCTTGGATCAACAGTAATATCTGATTCCTACAGTTTTTATAGACTTTAAGTCAAGATTGCAATTAAGCAATAGGCAATGTGCCTTGACGATCCAGCTCTTACTGTTACTGATGATGTCTGCTCTATAACTATAGTAGGTAGAAAAGCGACTACCAAATAAGCTTTAGACAACCCATTTTCATTAACTTTCCATTATTATTGAATGGCGACGAATTTATACTCTCATAGTATCAACAGTACGAAAATACTATCCAAGTCTATCAAAATTGTAGGAGTCGGATATTACTGTTGATCCAACCCCTTTTATAGATTAGTTGACTATAAAGTTAGGATACATTCATAAGTCACATTGGATATGTTCCTTTTTACTTTAAACGATTGGGCCCGTAAATGCACTAATGTCATGCTTGGGTACTTCATTTCACTACTGGTACGCGTTGCTATTTTTTTACGCTCAATCTTTCTTATGTGATTTATTAGGTAATCAATACACAGTATTGCCACGACAGTGTGTACTATAGTGTATTTGTGAAACAATTTTAGATGCTTGTTGCTAAAGTAACAAACATGTATTTGCTCAACAACCGTAGACGACTTGTGCTAAGTTAAGTAATCAACATGCACAGTGCAATACCTAGATAAGTGATGCGATGAAATAACTTCTACTGTACTGTAATTTATACTACTATCATCAAGATAGCTATTATTGGCTTATATTAGCAAACATTACAGCATACAATTAGTATCGTAAAAGTGGCTGCAAGATATCGACAGTTCGATAAATTAATACTTAAAAATACACCAATAGTATTATATCGGAGACTTTTAAGAGAAAATTTCTCTGACAAATCCCTGATTTATATTATGACGGGCATGGAATTAATAAATATGACATCGGTAACAATAGACCCTACTACCGAGACTTTGTTGATTTGTGATGACAAAAGTTCTTTTATTATACCTATTACGTATGGTAGCAAAAACTCTACATATTCTTTGCATTGTCAATATTTTAGTATAGACAATCGCACAAATGACATCGTTGCTATCAAGATTATTGACTTGGAAGATGCGGAAGATGAAATCGAAGACATACAACAAGAGATCACTGTTCTTTCGCAATGTGACAGCAACTTTGTAACGAAATATTTCGGTTCCTATCTCAAGGTTTGCAGTATAAACTTATTCATTTATTTATTCAATTTATAATTCACTGTTAGAAGATATACATGTACCTGTATTCATTGAGATCAAAATCAAGTAACAGCAATATAATCAGCATTGTACTATTAACATTTATTCATCCAAGGTCAATGACATAAATAGAGCACCTGCCGATAGGTGATGCTTACAATCTACTACAGACAGCTTTATATAATACAGTATCTCTATTAATTCTGGTAATCAAAGTAGTCATGCATCTACGTAGAATGTTAGATCGAACGAAATGGATGTGATCAATCCATGTCATGTAGTGATAAATAACCATCATTCTCTGTATTATAATACAGAGAATTGAAGATAACGTAGTAATTATAAGAAGGTAATAACATGCGAATACTATAATGTTGCGTGATTGAAATGCGAAGGGCATTTCCAATTTTAATCCTATTAGCTTATGCAGTATGTTCAGGCAGTTGATGTCCTATTTATGAAGTAATATCACAAGTTATTAATCTACATCGATCGTTGATAACCCTTTGCATAACCGATATCATTCACTACCTGATTTTGTTTTATTTTTTATTCGCAATTACTATTAATGCATGTTGTTATACGGCTATTGATGTACCTAGTAGCACAAATGCAGTACGTATCTTGATGATATACCAAAAGCATAATAGATAATTTTTGTGCATTGTACGTAATTTATGCTCTATTACGATACTCCTGTTAGCTATTAATCGTTATACCTATGATATTGTATAGATTTTGCTTATGATTGTCCTCTGATGATAGAAGACTGTACAGCATATTTGTTACTATTCATTTTAATTGTATTATACTACTTAATTTAGGGTACCAAATTATGGATTATAATGGAGTACTTAGGCGGTGGTTCTGCTTTAGATATGGTAATACAATTAGTTCGATTAATTATATGCGCAAAATATAATTACTGCTGTAGCGGCTACTCATTAACCATGAACTACTTAATTGCTAGCGATTATATAGTTAGCCGCTTTACAAAGTGGGAATCATTTCTTGCTCACATGTTTGTTCTGCGTTTAGATGAAAGCTGGTTCTCTCGAAGAAACTTATATAGCATCGATCCTACGTGAAATACTTAAAGGTTTAGACTATTTACATTGCGAAAAGAAGCTTCATCGAGACATTAAAGGTTAATTTATAGGCTCTCTTATACGATCGTTTAATCTGTTAAATACGAATCTTCGTTAAAAACTAAACTGATATATATATATATATATATATATAGTTAGTAAACGAGTCTTACACTTGAAAGATACTTTTATAAGTTAAATTTTTCTACTTTGAGAAAGTTTTGATAGTATCTAGTGGGTAAAATTGTTTAGTATGCTGTAATCGCTTTTAAATAGAGCGAATATAAAATTTTACATTAAGTAGATTTATAGTGATTTACTGACTACACAAGAGAGCTTACTTGTTTCTTATTGTATCACCTGATTGATAAGCGACTTAGTATTTTCTATGTGATATTTTACTTTAGCCGCCAATGTACTTATGTCCGAAAGCGGCGAAGTCAAATTAGCAGATTTTGGTGTTGCTGGTCAACTAACTGATACCATGACAAAACGGAGCACGTTTGTTGGTACTCCATTTTGGATGGCGCCTGAAGTCATCAAGCAGTCCTCGTACGATTCTAAGGTGAAATTTGGCAGCTTTTTACTGCAATTGGCCTGTAGATTGTAATACTACATTTACAGTGAATGGTATCTCATGCTTTTTTAACTCCTTATAGGCGGATATCTGGTCTCTAGGTATCACTGCTATTGAATTGGCAAACGGAGAGCCACCACACTCAGAGTTGCATCCGATGAAAGTCTTATTCTTGATACCGAAGCATAATCCTCCAGAATTGGAAGGAAATTACTCAAAAACTTTTAAGGAATTTGTAGCTGCCTGCCTAAACAAAGATCCAGCTGATGTAAGTGATTCTATATAGCTTGAGGACCTTGCTTGAACTTGCATATGATCATCCTTATATAGTAATACAAAATTACTACAGCACAGTTATTTGATTCTTATGATTGATAGCGGCCTACTGCTAAAGAACTTTTAAGACATAAATTTATTAAAAGCGGCAAAAAAGTATCTCATCTGGTTGAGCTCGTTGACAGGTACAAAAGATGGAGAGCAGACGGAGGAGATACCAGTAGCTCTGAAGATGATGCTGAGCCGTGAGTTATTTTGGACTATTTTACTTTGTATATATCTAGAATATGTTACTATCGGAGGCATAGCTTTATTCAGTATTGAACGACTATTTTATGGATGTATGATAGTAATGAGGATGGGGATGATGTTGAAGAGTGGAATTTTGGAACTGTTAAAACCCAACGTACTGTTAATAATGACGCCACTCAAGCCGCTGCGGTTATACGTGGCTTGTCCCTTGAACCTAAAAAGAAGGTATATCTTTATTATAAATATTCATCCAGTATAATGAAAGATCTATCATGAGATTAATAAACATAATGCGATAATCTGATTTATTTTCAGGCCTCAGTTCGATTAGACTCTATTGTTATGCCTGTTTTACAGGAGGTGTGTTTATGCTTTTAGAATTTGGAATAAAATCATTATAATATCTACGCTACATTTCAACTATTCTTATATTTCTTTTCCCTATTTAGCTCAAAGACAAATATGCATTACAAAGTGGCACCATTGAGACCTTAAAGGCAGGATTTCGTGAAGCTGAAGCGGCTACTTGCGGTATAACTGATCAATTTATAGAAAGAATTCTTGTAAGAGTTGGACGGTAATTGGAAACATCATTTGGAAAATTTAATAAGAAACTGATATGCTACTTGAAGTTTTGTCTTTACCAATGTAAATATATCTATCAATTAAATTATTATATAGCCCTTGACCGGATGAATGTTTTAAAGGAAGACACACCAAATGCATCATCGTTGGATAGCTACTCACGCTCATTTTATTTGACAAGTTTATTATATACTGTACATAAAAATTGGACACTTCCTCTCTTTGATAATTGCTGAATCATAATTAAGTATGTGCTACACTATTAAAGAATTATAACATGTTATAACTATAATCACTGGTTATAATACCAATTTTTACGATTGGGGTAAGCACCTGCTGTCTATAGTTAATATGTCTGTATCTTAATTATACTGTATTAAACAACATTACATACGGCAGTTTTCTAAAAGATTATAATTGCACTCGTTTGCAATCAAAACTTAAAATTTTTCTACCCAATTCTCAATTAGGCTGATATTTTGTAGAGAAATTTTGGGATTAGTAAATTATTTGTTACATTTATCAGATTGGATTGATGTCTCTTCTAGTTGACTATTATTAGACTTGTTACTCATCACATTAAAGTCTTAATGTCTAATACAACACATGGCATATCGCTACCATGAATAGTCTTGATCACTATGACTATGTTCCTCTTTTGTATTCGCTCTTAAGTATATTCGGTAAATGATAACTAAAGATTTCTATTTATCTAATGGTAATCCATTCATAGTAATCTATAAAATGGACTAGCAAGCGAATTTTTGAGCATTGTACCTGTTATAATGAGAACTGTGTAGCCTAATTGGGAACCTTCATGTTCAGCACAATTTTACCCCACTTGATTTTAGATAACGCAATCAAGACTCTCAATCGAGCTTTTAAAAGTATAAATCTCTTAATACGAATTTTCACCGAGAATCATAGCTTATGTTCACGCAAACTACGCAGATAGAAGAACAGCATAGAAAATAAAAATCTTGCTGAATTTACGGCACTGTATGTTAACTAGAACATTGATACTTTCGAAGCTGTTAATACTAAGGTGACCCAATTTTTAACAGAGAATAATGCTGTTACTGATAGCAGTCAGCTCGAAAGACGATTACTTTAGGATTGTACAGTACATTAGTTATCATAGCGAATTTCATCAATTGCGTTGTGCTATAAATACTAGCTTAAAAAATTTGATTTAACAAAGACTATTGTGCAAGCGCTGCGGTATGCCTAGTATCGTAGTAGGCGATATACATTTTTGAATGAAAAGATAAGTACAATGGCACCATCTATAAAATATGTCGGTAAACACATGACAGATTTACCGCTGCTTGAAGTAGTAACTTTATTGTAAATAGTAACAATGTACTGTAAATATCATCCGTAAGACGTTTACCAATAGTGTAGGTAAATTGAAAGTCTTCGTATCGAGCTGGGTGCAATAAAAATAGTTTGATATATACATGTATACATACATATATTATACACAGTACACGAGTATATTCGTATATATTGTATGACTTCGATTAACCTTGTTTCTAGATTGCAGCTGCTAAGTGCAAATTAATTTAGTACGTATAGTTATAATGAACTCGCTTAACTTATTTTTCATTATATAATGTCCTATGATAAATGTAATTGTATACTATCACGCGTTGCGATATGCCGAAAGATTTAGTAGAAAGTAAATTCTAACATAAATACTGTACGTGTATAAACATACCGTACAAGCAGAGTCCTGACTAGTAAAACTGACTAAATTCACTAAAAATAGTTAGCGATGTAAACGATATAGATAAGTAGAGCATGGACTCCCGTAAGTAATAGAGGGTGCAATTAAATAAAGAATAGATAGTATTTCCCCTACTTGCGTAAGATGAAGTAAAGGTGCAGTTTTTAATTCACAGATATAACAATATCATCAAAAATAAATTCGTTTTAGAATGCCATCGATAAAATAAAGATAAGAAGCAAGTTGATCTCGATGTACAAGTTTGTTAAGGCGTATTTCAAACGAATTAACTTATAATTATATCCAGTATTTCATAATAACTTGAGATCGTATTACCATAAATGTAACACAGTATACATGGATTGGACGTTAATACAGAAACTGATACTTAATTACGCTATTACCATCTGAAAAGCAATCATTTGAAAAAATTGCTAGTATCAGATATGATACGCACAGGATCTACAGTAGTGAGATAAAGTATACCTGAACAGGCACTATGGCGTATACTTACAAGTCGCTATGAGTTACTTTTTATTACTTTCATTGCAACATCTTTTTGTCGAGTTAAGAATAAGATTCCATATATATACTTACGTATACTATATATACACAATGGGAGAACAACTATACAGGGTAACTATCTAGACAAAATAACTAAATAGTTATCATCTATGATCTAGTGCAAAAATGATATTGGCAGTAAGCCGATATACAGAATAAATAGAATAAGCCGAAATTTGTTACTATTGCAGTAGCCATCAGTAAGCGTTTTACAGTGAGAATAAGCAATATCTCCGCGATAATATCAACCTTTTAGGAGTTCTCTCCACTGAATACAGCTCCAATTCTTCTACAGCGTTTATAATCTGATATTGGAAAGTAATCGATGGATAGTCTGGAAGCGTTAAGATTAATGCTGGACGATGTAGTCACGACGCGTACTATTAGTATTGTAATTTATATGTACATACAGTACATCGATTTTATTAATCTTTCAAAGACCTGATAAAAAATTGTTTGATGATCGATCGTATTTATTTTTAGGGATTATTACCTTGATATTAATTTTGCCTTATTTTTATATGTCCTATTCGTATGCCGTATATATATCGTTAAAAAAAATTGAACTAAATATCCAATATACCACAAGACCAGTAGTAAGATAATGTCTATCTAAAGCTATTCGAAGACAGGGGCGTCCTTCAATATTTACATTAACGAGTTGCATTGATTATTGCTTTGAGTGAATTCCATCTACGTTTAAACAACTTTAACGCGTAGTTATATAATTGTATATCCATAGAATTAATTTCTCGTATTTTATGTATAATCTCAGGGCTTAACTTATATAATACTTCAGAAGCATATGTTTGATTGAAATCATATTGCATGAATGGTTGAATAAACTTCAATCCAAATCTGTGCTCGAACATTACCTGATTCTCACGTTGATACTCAATTAGGCCAAAGTAGGCCATTCGTTTCAAATTGAACTTAGCACTATTTAAAAGTATCCTGTTACGTTGCTGCAGCGACATAGAACTATTTTCATAACAATTGACCAATCGAAGATCAGCTAACATTCTGGTTTGGCGATTATTAGCTAAATTATATTTACAAGCGATAAAATCCTTCAAGGTAACATAATTCCAGTTACTACCGTTATAACATGGTGGTAATTCCTTCACGGTTGGCAATCTGCCATTACATTTGTGGCGCGATTTCTTCCATGTAGCACCTCTTGTGACATGTTGATATTCACTAAGATATCGATTGATAGGATTGCGCAATTCTGTTATAAAGTGATATCTTCGATTTGAAATTTTATGACTACGATTATTATCGAATTTTCGAAAATAATGAGGCAAGCATTCCATTAATTCAGTATAGTCGGCATGAAGTCCACATTTCCAACCAGTCGAATAGCGTGAAAATAGCCAAATATCGGTTGAATTAGGTCGATGGCATTGGCAACGTAATTTAGATCTCTTTTTGAGTTTGCCTTTTTTATTTCTATTGCTGGCATTTTGTTTCTTACCCCCTTGACAATTGCAAGGCTGTTTCAATGACAGGTTTTGTACTAAATGTCGACCAAATGTGGTACCTCCAGTTTTCTGAATATGTAAAAAAACAATGACATCGCTATCACTGATATTAAAGGTTAAATTGTTATTCCAGAAATCGGTTGAAATATCTTCTGTCCGATCATCTTGGTCATTACTTGCTAGTGCGGTTGATAAGACAGCTTTTAAAGTAAGCCGATGATGCCATTCTGGCGCTACCATTAATCGACGATCGACAACAAAGCGATAAAAAAGTAAAATACTGAATCCAATGACTAGTAAAAACAAGAAGCTCCTGTTTAGCGCTTTCCTGGCCATCGAATCATTACCGTTGCGTACTGCTGTAAAGTGCTGACCCGTTAATAACGGTAAAATCACCAGCTAGACGCTTGTGAAATTCAACTAAAGATACTCGCAATTGGATAAAATTGCCTCACTTGACCAAAACCAAGGGTTACACTAGGATGTTGTTAAGAATGAATCAAGAGAGCGCTCTATCCTATTCCACAACAACAACAACAACTAAAATCGCGGGTTTGAAGTGATTTTTTAAAGCAAAGAGATGAAAAATTGATTAATTAACGGATGGATGCCTATTCAATTGGACACTATGTACAAGGCAGCAACGGTTATCCTCCAATGCTGTCCAATGTCGTCGTCAGTAGTTTTACTGGACCGTAAGCAATTTTCCAGTGTCGATGTCACTGGTTTTCCATGAGGAGTATTGTACTCCAGCGACACATACTAGAAATAACAAGTTTATGAAGTAATTTTTTCCCTTGACAAGAAAATAGATTCAGCTAAGTGGATTGGAAGAAAAGAGCTGAAAGAAGAATGGAATGTAGCATGGAAGCAATAGCGAATTTCAATGAATTTCAAGGCTAAAAGATTGATGGATATCCAATATGGTGTGGATCAGTTAGTTTGGTGAATTGCAATCCTCAGTAAGATATTATTCGTCTTACTGTCGCACGCCAGTAATAATGAGCAGGTAGTGTCTTGCACTGTTGCCGTGATTACTTGTTATCCCTACACAATAACAATCCTTATTTCATTCTACATAATCATATTGCAGCTTCAAGGATGCTATGCCATCTATTTCTCTTGAATAAATACAACCTTTTCAATCACGATCAATTTCACTAATGACTGCTAATTAATTGATTGGCGTAGCTGCTTGTATTATTGAACGGAATCGATTTGACGATCAAGGGCAGCAACAGTGTTAAGAGAAATTGAATTTCTTCAACGCTCAATCATTTCATACCATTCAGTCGAGTTGAATAGGCCAGTATGAGACACTGCGGTACGCTTGTCCGTCTCCACCTCCTTGCGATTGCCTCCTGGACAACTGGACACATGGACATGCGTGTCCAAGCATGGGCAGTAGCATTGATTTCTTGTTGGAGTGTTGAATATGGCTACACAAACACTCGCCCGTGTCGAGTCTAATCTAGAGTACAGCGCATGACACCCTGATAGTGTATTGTATCGGTTACGAGCTGGCGGGCCAAGCCCCTTCATCTGCAAGTGCGTACAGTACACTAGTGACCTTTTTCAGAGTCTCTACTGTACACTGTACACTCTGAGTGTACGTGCAGTGTCCTGCAGAAGGCGTTGGCTGTGTTAGGGTTAGGGACAGACAGACACTTTCCACAGTGACAGGATACTGTACTTGTACTGATTACAAAAAATGATGTCACCCATGGCGATCGACTTATGACTGTAGACGCCACCCAGTCGACATGATTTTTGCCAGCAATGCTTGAATTGCAATCCCTGCTTCTTCCATACAGTATACAGTACAGTAATGTACAGTATACTCCTTTTACTTCTATGGTATGCAGTAGAATGTGCCAGCAAAAATAGTGTCGTCACGACCTCTAGCCTACAGTACAAAGGCATCGCCAGGGTGACATCATTTCAAGCACTACACATACTGTACTGTACATGTACACTGTAGTTTCCAGACGGACTTTTTCAATCCCGTTCTGGACACGACTGTACTGTGCTCAGTGTATTCGCCTCTCCAGCTAGCCACCATAGTAGTTACTATACCGTCTTACCATCTCATCCAGACTTTTAAGAACAAGTCCATCCTCTTGAAGCGAAAAATAGCCGTTGTCTCGATTGTCTGTGAGAGGAGCTAACGTACTGGCTCCTGGCGTTTCAAGTTTCACAAGGAGAGTAGACGGCATTGCTTGGGCGAAAATTGAACTTGGGTTGAATTTATAGCGATCATTCTAGCGCTGACAAACTGACCATCTACATTAACTCATGTCGAACGAAGAAAAAAGCAAAGGTCATGGCCGATCGCCGGCGACAAAAGGAAGCTCTGGTGAAGAAAAGAAGACACTTGGCACTCGAATTGCCAACTTTTTCAATCCTAAAGATCGACAAGATAGTAAGTTCAACCATTTCAATGAAATGCCATTTGTAATAATATACTATACTATTGGATAGGGCTATCAAGCATTGATAAATGGAGTTTTATTGGATCAATAGAGAGATCTGTTACGGCTTGTAAATGATGTTATTACCATGAAGGATCGTCTTGCCTTGGATTTAACTCAATGATATTGTCGTAGGTGGTAAAAAAAATAAATTGAACATCTCGTATCCATCGAAATTCGAACATACAGTCCATGTTACTTTCGATCCTACCACTGGCCAATTCATAGTAAGTCTTGATCATTCCAATTTGAATACAACCATTTTCTTATACATGATACATCATCTCTTGAAAGAATAGAAGATTTAAAATCCAACTACTGTAGTACAGCCACAGTCATTTGATACGTCTACCTACTCAGGCGTTCTACACTATAGTCATACGCCAACCTAGTCGACATGTTTTATCGCTAGGGTAGTTGTATGGCGATGACTGAAAATGTACAAACTACATCTTATTATTCTACTTTGTTGGCTAAAGTAATAGTATACTGTACATGTGTAAATATTGCCGGACGAAGTAGTGCGGTTCACCTAAACTCATTAGGCCACAATAATTTTACGCTAATAGCTGCCGTACTACCAATATGACATCAACCGTACTAATACTTACAATCGAATATTGCAGTAACTTCTTCATCGACTATGTTACTTACAGCTGTCATAGCCAGTAGCATAATACATCATACCATAAACCTTCGCTTATGTAGTTTATTACTGACATAGTTTTGGGTATTTTTGTTAAACGTTTCCATTCTCTTGCTATATATTTCCGGCCAGGCCTGTGCTGTACATACATTGGTACAACCCAATCTTATTGTTTTGCTAAACGCTTCATCATCAAAAGGGGGATAACCGCAGACAATGTGAATCACTACTACTTTATTACTTGCTCGTTAGCCATCAGATTCATCACTAGTTATCAGCATCATCATTTCATGGACTTACTATGAGTGATCTGTAACGAAATTTTGATTATTCTAATGCGTAGATAATGCTATCAACCTATACTGTACAGTGTATAGTATAGCGACCATAGTCTCAATATCCACTTCTACTAGCAATCATTTTCTGCAGCCACAGTAATAATAACGTTTTAATATTGATGATGTACAGTAATTAGTGGCATAACAGTGTGATACAATTCATTCATCATCCTAACTCACAAGAGGAGCCTGCAAAAAGATCACAACTCATCGATCTTTTCATCTGTACAATATACGTACTGTTCGAGAATTGATTCTTATCGTAGTTCATAATAATCATTTTTACTTTGGACACCCAGAGAATATTTTACGTTGGGTATAAAATTAAGCAAACGAATGAACTAATTGAATATACGATACAATACATTACAAATTAAATAAGTTAATATGATAACCTTCAGCAAACAGGGATTGCTGTAAGCTGCCCTTTAGTCGTATACGTAACTAGTTCAAATCTTGACTGCACCTTATTAGTAGCTACGTTGTTTTGGAGCACTCCGTGTCGATTTAATGAAGATGAATTGAATTTAGAACAAAGATGGTAGAGGCCCCTCGTTAAAGTCTTCTCCCCCACACGCACAGTATACTGTATCTACTTTATTTTTATATGAATCGTGCACTAAAGTAGCTAATCCATTGCGAAATTGGACACATAATAACTTCATTCCATGATGGTGTTTACAAATGAAAGGTTGTATACAATTTTAAAATGTCAAGAGAACAGTAGCCATTAGTAGTACCATAAGATAGGAACAGAAACTTTTGCAGTTTGCGGCACAGTATCATCCGTCGTTTGCCATGAGTTCTTGGAAAGTACCATGCCATTGAACCAAATGGACCATGGTTAGTTGAGGTGTCTGTCTGTACGCACGTATGTGTCCTACAGTGCAAGTTCATGTTACAATAACTACTATACCGTTTTGTACTCTAGCATCGAAATGGAAACGAACCAATCACATTGCTGTACCGATGCACGTGCATCACCATCTACAGTGTACAGTACTATTGTAGCAGTGATTCATCAAGGAGTAAGAATCACTGGCTAGCTTGGCCTTTTTTGGTCATACCGTACAGTAATTTTACAGTCAATGAATGACTCATGATTGAGTCATAAACTGATGACTCACAGCAGTTGTACTGTGAGATCTGCGTTGCGAAACCATTGACTTTCGCTCTCTTTCTTTCTTGTACCTACAGTAGTCCCTGCAAAAATTGCACCATCGATTTACCTCGATGATAATTGTTACGCAATATTGAAATTGAATGGGAATATACAAAACGTACATCTGTATACTAAGTGCTAGATTTACAAGGCTTTAAGCAGTGTCGGCAATATTGCAGGCCAAAGACAAGGAGTAGTACTGTACTCCAATTGCAAAGCACAACTCTAGCCTTGTCTCACATGCGTCGATATCATACTTGAAATGAAACCTAATATTGATACTGATAGCATATTAGAAGGATGTTCATCAAATGGTATTCTTTACAAGGCTGTAATATAGAGTACTGTACACTGTATAGCATCCATAGTCCTACAGTATATTCGATAGTACACCTCGAAGGTACTTTCAATGATAAATACAGTACTGTACTTCTCTGACATAGAGTCTAATCGAACAACAACATCATAGCAATGTTTTCAAGTTAAGAGCTAAAATCGTGTTATCTTAATAAAAGTCACATTGTCTACAAAGTTGAAAGAGTCGGATATCGACAATACCAGTACAGTACTTTATATTGATCCTTCATACATCATCTGGCTGTATCGTATTATTCTACACATATCCATCGACACAATAGAAAATTCTATGTATACTTGCTGAATAGTTTCCTACTAAGAAAAACATCATAATTGCTTCAAATTATCTTTCAAAAGAAAAATAGTATTAAATGAGTACACAATGAAAGTAGAATTGGTAAAAATCTTTGCAATTGGAGCTAATTAGAAAAGTACAACCTTTTAATCTATTGCGGCACAATACATCTAAATCTTTAGACCCTCTGAACTCACAGAGGCCTCTACATTTTGATGACGCCATCGTAACAGCGATTGTTGATTTATTGTAGACGTGATAAATATCGAATATCACTTTACTATATAGAACAGTAGACTTGTTGATATCTGGCATTTTATTAGTTACGTAGTTAGTATGACTTATTAGGTGATCAATGAATTCGGTTTGCATCACTTTGTGCACCTTTAGGGTATGCCATCAAAATGGTCATCATTGCTAAAGACTGCTAATATTTCCAAAGCTGAACAAGAAAAGAATCCACAGGTACAACCCTTCATGACTAATGTCTCAGGAATATATCAATTATGCCTTCATTTAGGAGAAATAGTCAATATTCACTGCAATTACTTTTACCTGATGTGAGATTCGCCTTCATTAAAGCCATCAAACGGCGATTGTTCATTAAATTTTACGTAAATTTATTGAAAGCCGGACGTAATCTCTTTGATATCTACCCATGAAGTGCCCTTGACTACTTACCTACTAATGCTCCATAATTCTCAATAGGCTGTCATAGATGCTCTAGAATTCTTCGATGCAAAAGAAGTGAAAAATGATAGCAGCAAGTTCATGACCATTGGAAAGAGTATGTATTAACTGTAATTATATCTAAATTTAGAAAATTTATACAAACTATTGTCTCTCATAGCTCCAAAATAGTTACATAGTACGATTGTTATTGATAAATTTTTATGAACTATTGCTTATTTTTGACTTATTCCGTCATCGATACATCTGGTTTATTGCCGGTTAGTAATTTTTCGGGAATTAATATTAAGATTGCTGTAAATTTATAATATCTTACGTGTAATTATTCGTTATTGTTCTTCTTTAGGACTCACATAGAATCTAAAGTTAAAGCAGTCGTAGATGCAGATGAAGGGGTATAAATACTTAAATGGATCACTATCAATTCATTAAATTACTCTAAAAAAGAGAGGAAAAACACGTATTTGATAACCGTCAGTTTAGACGCGATTGTAAACAAGCAATAATTGATTTTTCCTAGGTGGAAAGCGCAGGGCCAGATGATGATGAAGAATTATCAACTTCATTGCCATATAAATCGGAACGTTCGTTAAATGAGACACCAGCGGAAAACGAAGTATGCGTCGATCTTATTTTAGCTTTAATCAAAGCTATCGATAAATATACTAGGGATGTTAGTTTCTATAAATATTCATTTTCATATTTTAAGAAAATAATTAAACAGCTGCCTGTAGAAGTCAAACCTAGCCCATTAGCTAAAGCCCCTGCTCCTCGTGCTGTTGAGCAAGCAACACCTGAAGCCGGTAACACTCGAGATATTCTTTGCTGTAAAGAGATTCATTTAATGCTAACTTTTCTGCCTTTGAATCAAATATTTCATTGATAGCTACTCCTCCAGCTCGAGTACGTGAAAAGAAAAAGAAAATGTCAGATGAACAAGTGATGGTAGAATTACGTAAGCAAAAATTGACGTAAATACTGTCTTATTGTTTCTAACTTTTCCCCTTTGCTTGCGGATAGGTAAAATTGTAAGTGTTGGAGATCCGAAACAGAGATATAAAGAATACAAAGAAATTGGAAGAGGGTATTTTATCTTTATAATGATAATTGACTGTCGATGTCTTTTTATTGATAAAGTATGATGTATTAATTTTTGCTTAGAGCTTCCGGTGTCGTTTACACAGCTGTAGAAATAGTGACGGAGAATCAGGTATTTCATCCTAATCTAAATTTTATCATCTAGACTTTATTATGATCCACTGATTCTTACTGAATAATATCTTTAAAGGTTGCTATAAAGCAAATGAATATTACGCAACAACCGAAGAAGGTATGTCTCGTGTGTTTATCTTCAAATCTTTGAATTGTTTTAGGCGTACAAAAACATCAAATCAATATTGCATCTAATAGGAGCTAATCATAAATGAAATCAAAGTCATGAAGGACAATAAAAATTCAAATATCGTAAATTATTTGGATAGTTACTTGGTGGACAACCAATTATGGGTATGAAGAGCTAGTCATGAGATAGAAATTATTCAGAAAAAAATAACTCTCATTGATTGTATTCAATCGCTATTGGCAGGTTGTTATGGAATACCTAGCTGGCGGTTCCTTAACAGATGTGGTTACTGAAACCTGTATGGATGAAGGCCAGATTGCCGCCGTGTGTAGAGAGGTAGTTATGCGCCAGCCAAAATTAATATGAACTTACAAACCTTGATGTGTGTAACGTACTCTTTTCAGTGTTTGCAAGCCCTAGAATTTCTACATAAACAAAATGTCATCCACCGAGACATTAAGAGCGATAATGTTTTACTTGGAGAAAATGGCAACGTTAAATTGAGTGAGACTTGCATAAATTTTAACTATTATATATAAACCAGTGTAATTGATAGCCTTACATAAAATCTACGTTTCAGCCGATTTTGGTTTTTGCGCTCAAATTACGCCTGAACAGTCGAAAAGGTCGACCATGGTCGGTACTCCGTACTGGATGGCTCCAGAAGTTGTTACTAGGAAAGCTTATGGACCCAAGGTATCGTATAGCCAAATATAAGTAAATTAAGATCGAAAGTGAAGAAATTGGCCATCGCTATTACTACAGTTCAACAGAATCTGCATTACACTGTCAGTAACTTGACATGTCGTTCGAAATTACCGGTTAGGTCGATATATGGAGTCTTGGAATAATGGCCATTGAGATGCTTGAAGGAGAGCCGCCATATCTGAATGAGAATCCCATACGTGTATGATATTTGATCTACATACGTACTCAGTAGAGTTATTTATAGCTACGCTACTTTATTCCTTATTATTATAATTAGTGTAATTTCGCAAATTTTTTACAATGCTATTCTTATAAAACAAAATTTTTTCTTAGTTAAATAAGTTTTTGTAACCGTCGTTTTTTTGACTTTAATGTACTTACGGAATGAAATCTGTTAACAAGCATTTTTTAAATTATGTAATTTCCTAGGCGTTATATTTAATTGCAACTAATGGTACACCAAAAATTGCCAATCCAGAAAGACTTTCAGAATCATTTAGAGACTTTCTTAACAAATGCCTTGAGGCTGACGTAGATGAGCGCGCTTCTGCTATGGAACTGCTGAAAGTAAACAATTGATTACTTATTAATAAGAATGACATCCAAATTAACACTCTTATTTTTTATAGCATCCTTTCCTTAAGAAATCAAAACCTTTATCTACTCTTATACCGCTTATTAAAGTCACTAAAGAAATAATTCGAAAGCGCGATAAGAATTATGGCAACTAATACTACTGTGTACATGCTCTATCAGGTCTGCCTTAAAATTTCACTGCTCCCTTCATCGTAATCAGTGCAGTGACCATTTTTATGTTACACAGTTTGATTATGTTGTTAAGGATTTACGTGTATAATACTTCTTCAGCAGTATAAAAACGCTTAATAATTCATATTCCAGTTTGTAAGGACTTTGAGTTATTTGTATTGTTAACATGATGATGAAGTCGGTAAGATAGCTATTTTAATTCAATTCGTGGGTCACTTTGAAATATGTGATTTTCCGACATAGCAATATTTTCTTGTGTTTACGTACCGACCGTTTTTATATATTATATCCTTGCACTCAACATATCGTATATTTTTAACTATGTAATGCGGTCATATGTTGGCCAATTTACGCTAGATTTAGTTACTTCTGGATAGTATCTTCTTTTGTAGCGCATAGTTTCTTACAACTTATAACTTATAGACTTGGAATTTATTTAAACCATATTCATATCCATCAACGATGAAAACAATAGGCAACTGGCAATATTATATTTGCTTAAGGAAATATTATCTTTTGAATGTGTTGGAGAGTTAATTGCGGTATTGTAAATAAGGTTGTTATGTTGCTGTTCATTGAACGAGCAATGTTGGTAAATACTGTATACATAGATTAGAATTTTTATTTTAGACCTTTCATGGTCACTGCAATTTTATAGTACAATCGTATACGTGATTATGAAATTATTAGCTCTTTGATACTACTTTGCTTAATTGCTTAGAACTTTGTTATTAAACCATCACTTAGGTAGTTAAACTCTTCTGTCCTACGCTTTAGAAAGATTAATCACGTTTAGAACCTGTCATTTTCGACCATAACAACATGTTCGTATCCATGATCAACTGCTCCTTATTCACGTTTAGAAAATAGAAAAAAACTTCTTTGATCAAACAATTCGCCTAGCTTTGTAATACTACTCAATATATAATTATCGTAATTGCCTTACCAACTGATTTCGTCTAACAAGACTAATTGCTTATTGCGAGATAAATCTAGTTCACAATTAACGCCATCTTAATTCCAAGTTAGTACAAAAAGGAAATTGTATGTTTCTAGCTACAGTAATTTATAAACGTACATTTGTGAATCATATGCCGTTGCAAGGGTAATGTTATCCTTACTTTGATAAAGAAAACAGTTTAAACTACTTGTAATTTCTTGACTGCAATTTGTACGTATGCTAATATTCACTATGGGACGCCATCAAAATATCACATTTCCAAGAAATTTATTATGTTTTACCAATGCGTTTGTACGATAGTAAGCGCTGCATTTGCAAGAAATGCAGTAGAAACTGTTTGCTTGGCTTGTGTGTAATATGACTATGTTGTGGAAACGTAAAATGATATCCTAATCCGTATTTGTAAACATTTATGTACGTAACTGGGCAATATACTTAGTTCTGATGAGTGTTAGACATGTCGATGTAATAACTTTAAACTTTTCTGCGATGTAAATGTTTTCTTACTTAGTAATGTGGTATTCTTATGATATGCCGGGTTATAGAATATTATTAAAAATTCATGTCGTAATATATTACGTCATCGAATATGTCAACTTTGAATCAACAGCCCTATACAATTCCTACTAATGCACAAACACTATCTTTAGTGAACTACTTATGCTATATACTGTGAGCTATTACTGCTATAAGTTGGTCCATACGTTACGCTGTACTGATCTGATCGATAAAATTATCAAAAGCAAACATCATTTATGGTACACAACCTGCATATACTGTTTGCCATGGATTGTAAATTAACTGGCACACGTATTGGACTTAACAGATGGCTAACGCAGCAGGCAACGCAGTATTAAAAAAATAAAATTTAACTAATGGTATGAACGACTAACCAACCAACAAAAATGTTATTGATTTGTATCACATTTATACGTAGCTGCGAGCTACCTAGATATACGAATATCAATATTCGTATAGCATGGCTGTCTATAGTTGTAAATATCAAATGTTAGCAAAACCTGCGTGCTGTCTGTATATTTATCTTGTGGGTGTGTTACGAGCTGCCGCATATGCAACTTCTGGTTAGTATTTGAGAAAAGCTCTTAAAAGATATACATTAGTAATTCAATTTACAGCTAATTAAACTTTACCGAACCTAATCAGTATCTATAATCAATTTATTGATAAAATTTACCTACCTCGATCGTCCCCATGATTCAATTTAAATATAGTAGCAATTTGCCCTCCCTTTGGTCGCGTAAATAATGTTTTAATACACAAATACAAGTACGAGCGTGATACGAGTACACGTAATTACTGTAAAATAATAGACCAGTATTATATATTAAATTATATCATTGCTCTCTGTTAACATTAACGCAATGTCTATTTAAATTATCTAAATTGCATTTCTTACGTTCTTTCATAATACAGCATACTCTCAGATTTACGAGCACTGTATATACGCATGTACTGTATTGTATTGAAAAATTCCCTTTTTTGTACAGTATACGTACGCTATTCCTCTTGATGAAATCAAACGAATGGCCTTTCAGCTGAACAAATCGCCGATTTTGTGCCAATTAAGGAGTAACGATATCATATGCTATTGTTACATGCGTAAAGATAGAACACAACATTTTGCATGCATACTACATCGTATTAAAACGCTTGTTTACCTAAACCAAGCTGGACGTACCTGACATGTCTGAACCGAACACCTAAAGTCCATCCTTTAAATATAATAGACTGCTGACTACGTAAAAACACTGTAATGTCATATAGTCTTGTCTTAGCCGATTTTTTTTACCTTCTATCACGATATGTGTATTTATTTACAAGCTGCTATAGACTGTATATTGTATAATGTCTAATTATACGGACAATATACATTAACAAATTCATGAAATGAGAAAATTATTATCGCACTAAATAGTAGGCAATCGACTTTGACTAGTAGAGTCCAGTCACAGCGCCTATTCGTTATGTTATTAGTTATGTTTTTCAGAATGCATAATTACCGTAGGCGCTGGCATAAGTAAACTACTGTAAGAATAACTGATTATATCAATCCCTTTTTTAAGGGGCTGACCGGAGACTTTGATAATAAAATATACGGCTATGCAGTCTTTTTTTATTTAATTATACAGATAGAAACGAACGAAGTTCGAATGTGTACCCAATACTATCAGGAACTGTATACAAAATAAAAAGTTTGTAAATATTATTTAAAACTCGAATACGGGTTTATACTCGTCGTTTATATCTGCGTACTACGTTGTATTGAATTAATTTAAATTGGCCATAAAGACTACGATATAAACTAAGAAAAGTATCATAAAAAATTATTATTATATAAACTGTTGATATCAATTGGAAAAAAAATTACGGGTGTGTTATAGATTTAGCATTAAATCAATCAATTCAATCTCAATTCATCCTAAATTGCATATCTGTATAGTACAGTGTACAACTATACATCTTGTGCAGGCGATAACCTGGTGGAATAACACAATTATATTTGTTGTTGTTCCAACCCGATTTTCGTATAACTGTTATGGGATCAGGCTGTGGCAGGGAAACGCAACGATAATTTGACCATTGAAATGCTGCGAAAACATTGCATATGAATGCATTGAGGGTGTGCTTACCTTTCCCCCTCCCCCTGGAAAAATAAAAAAAACGTGAAGAGCACACGTAATTGAATCATTTTGGCTGTGGACGTCAATTTTTCGTCATCAGCTCCTTTAGTCCTACGGGTAATTTTTGATGAAATTATTCTACAGATGGGCCTGATTGCTAGTAAGTCAATAACCAATTATAATTCTCGTACATCCAATTAACTTTATAATACGTGTATTTATTTTGTACGTTAACACAAAGCAGAGATAGTCAAATCATCATCGATGGCAGTAAAGTATATTGTACGAGGATAGTCATTGCATTGCAATTTGTATAGAATTCAGCTTCTGTACCAGCGCTTGCAAGCATCGCTCGTTCGCGATCATCGATGTTCTTATACAAACAATAGAAGGTAAAACCGGGTATACTGGTTCTGCAAATGACAATAAGAAAAAAAAAAGTAAGTTTGTACGGCAGACCGACGCACGCTTGTGGAAAGTTAACGATTTTCTTTATAGCATGTCCGCTAAGCTATTAGCAGTTCATTGCAAGGGCTACGTATGAGTCAAAAAGAAAGAAAACACTTTATCGTCTTGATTTTCAAGCCATGCAGAGTTTAGCAGCATGCAGACATGACGACACAAAGTTACCTACCATCTACGGCAATCGAGACCATCCCACCTGATCAAGTGATTAAAGCATTATTCGTACTGATTGATTGATTGATGAAAGAGGATAAATTAAAAAGACGGACGCAAAAGAAACGTATTGTGTATAAAAATTATCTCATTTATCATTGTTCGTCCAAGTACTGTAGAAATAATGCATGGTAAATAGACGTTATTAAAGATGTCGTATACTTTATCTCGATCGATGGGATATCCAGTGCAGTATTCAGGTCGTGAACAACCTACTGTAAAGTACAATGGGATATTTGCAGTGTTGTCACCTCAAATACTAATGTAAACCTTGGACGATCAATAATTAATCAAACTTCTGTCAAAGAGATGTTTAGGGAAACTTCTTTGCTCGCTGATCGGTAACGGCAATGCGCATATTGTGCACACACTACTAAGTCAAGGACATCACTACAAATCCCCACTGTGGGATTAATCCTTGACTGAAGGATCAATTCAACCGTATGATAAAGAGAAAATAAAAAATTTCAATTCTCATATCATTCAATTTCATCCAATGCTGTACTCTGCAGTCTACAAACTCTACACTATGTACAATACATTAGCACAGCTTGGCAAAAGCCATCGTCATTGGCTAGTGCCATACGATTCCACTGTATATCCGTACGATCAGTGGCATTATTTTTTTTTCATCATAGCGATCCGCCGTTGTTATGCACTATTATAATTACAGCCCAGCTACTAAGTTGACATCCTTCACTGCTTCTGATAGGCTCGTGCTTGTCGTCAAAATAAATATGTGCCCAACACCTGACCTCAGCATAAAAAAAAAAATTGACGTTATCAATCATGTCAACATGAGCAAGTACAGTGCAAAAAAAATAAAATAAAACATAATAAGGGTTGTACAACACTAGGCGATAGTACAGTACTTGTAGAACTGAAAGCTGTCAGTCAAGCACTGTACCACCGTCCCATTTCATCTCTAGCTATAGAGTGTAGCGCAGGTATAAAAGATCTCTGCAATTTGAGCTAGTTCCATTAGCTCATCATTGACTATCGTGCTGGTGAATTAAGCTGGAGACATTGAAAGTTAATCTAATTGGATCGCATAACATTCGCCTTGGCATTTATTTTGATACTTGATTGCATCTTCGATAGCAAACAACCTCTTTCCATTAATTAGATTACAGGACTGTCTTGATTGTGTCATTCTTGTTTCGTCAAGTTATTATATTGGATCACCTCAAAACATCATGGAAAACGGTAAAGAACTTTCCATCGTTGAAAGAATACAGAAATTCAACAAAGCTGTTAATAACATGGACTCAGTGGTCATGGTCCCTTGCCAGCTACTCGATGAATCGACAAAATGTCTTAACAGCGGCTCATATCGAAAATTTAGCACGACAGAATCGGATATGCATAGATGCTTTACTCTTCTAAAAAAAGCCAAATACTACCTGAACCAAGGCGATGCCCTTGGAGCGAACAAAGACAATTCCGTCGATGAAGAACTGAAAGACTTTGTCAATCATCTAGAAGGACTGTACAAATCCTTAGATGTTCTCACTGAAGTTGCAAGTGGAGTTGCCAAGCACTATCAAAATGAAGTTGTCAAATATTAGAAATGGGTTCAAAAGCTAAAAAAAAAACTACAACGGTTACCACCTGGGTCGAGGACAGTATCATATTATAAACTCTTGTCGCCTGTAGGCACAGGTATTCTAGATAATTAGTCTTGCGATAGGCTAGAATATTTGCCGTGGCACACTTGCATACACGCTTACAATTGATGAAATTTAAAATTTTTACTATTGGTACTTCAATCTAGATGTCACTAAGACTATAATCTCTCTCAAAATGTCTCGCAAGTTTTTTCCATCAATTTTTACTTTTGTTCATTCAAGCTTTATTATTGAGTAGTGCGAACTTTGCTAGTTATTGCATTACAATTCCTCTATTACGGTAGGGTAGAAGATTCTACTTTTGCCGGGTAACATTTGCATCCATTTTCATGACCTTGATGCAGTTTATTCTACACTTTTACTGTATTAAATCGAAATAAGTAGCTTAATATGCAATGTATGTAATTTAAGATTGATTTCACTTGTTATTCCATTAAAGCTGTCTACCATTACTGTATTGACAATGAACTGGTGAGCAACTCTGAATACTGAACGTCTACTGTTAGTACAGTAGACGTGGAATGAAATTGAATACAGTATCTAGCACGATTGGTAATTTAATTGAATGACGAGATTGAAATGTTAATCTTCAATCTTGACATGGTATAAATATTTCCGGTAAGATTAAATAAATTTTATAAAATTAGCCCCTAATTTTTTGAAACTTGCACTAATGAATTCATAGATCTACGCGTAGTTTGCGCTACTTGGTGTTGCATTGCACGTAATGCAGTACATGCATTTCTAGGATACAGTAATCATTCGTCGATTTTTATCTGTAACAACGCCTGATTATGTTCAACTGTTTTATTATAACAATTATTAATTAATGAATTCATTGATTATAATGATTATTATTGATTCTGCATCACTTACTGGGCGTTGAGCCTTTTTTAGACTGTCAATCTTGCTCAGTTGTTACTGTCTCTTTATGTTACTCTCTACAGTACCTGTATGTTCTGCAGATGCTGTAGCGACAAAATCGGGATAAGACGACTGCTAAACAAGCTGATACGATATCGATGTTGTATGTTATCTCTCTAGATATAGTATATAATAATACATCAGCAATAGATCAAAGTAAGGATGCTAATATAGTAGTAGTTTTAATGAATAAAACATGGTAAATAAAATGCAAAAATGGACCTAAAATTGAGTGATAATTGGGTATCATTGATACAGGACATGGCTAATGCTGAGCTCTTATATTGACTCTAGTAGTTTATTGTGTACGTCATGTCTTGACAGACTGACATGCAGTAAATCACAGCTCAGCATCAACAAAAGAGCTATCAAAAAGAATCACGAGCACGAGCACGGGTCACCCCACTAGCTCAACACAATGCCCCCTGGCAACAGACAGACATCGTATGGACTAGCCAGACTGTAATGGCTAGTGTCAGAGTGTCGGTACTAGGGATTGCACTGATGGCCATTTTGGGGCCCAGGACAGTACGGACTACAGCTACTCACAGGATCATTGGGGGCTAACATGCACGCCAAAGGGTCAAGCTGCCTATTGACTTTTGCCAATATGCCTGCAATCGGATTGAAAAATGGAAAAATATTTTCATGCATTTGATATAACATGCACAAATCAGACTATCGATAGTCATGATCCATTCTTGAAGTTGAATTACCCTGTGCGTAGTTGAGAAATTCCTCAACATGACAACAATCAGTTGGAACTACTATTCGTAGAAACATGATTCATTTTCAATAGACGAGTGCCTTTCAAAAATGGACAGATAATCAATCATGAATTGCGGACAAGAGATTGTTGTGGCCCAATCCATAAACATTCTTGCATGTTCAATCCAACCAGTCAGCAAGTCGCTGTAAGATCATGACCTGGTGGAAATGCTGTACAGTCGAGACTGTGTATGAGCTCGACTGTAGTGCATTTCTGCACCCTTTTTGGGGGCAATGATGAATGCCTGTTTAAAGCCATAGAGGAGTGCCAAGGAGTAATAGTGAGAAAGTTTATCAACAAGCAAACGCACAGTTTGAAGTCAACAACTTCCATTTAAATCTTCACTTATAACCTTCGTCTGCTGAAAATCAACACAACTCGCTCATTCATCTGGCCATCTGGCCCACGCACTTCCTTTCCCTAGCTGTCCATATGTGTTGCCAATATCGTCCATCTTTACAATAAAAACTATTCATTTTCAAAGCATATACCTTTCAACACTATCAGACCATGGCCTAAGACGCAAAAGAGATCATACTAATCTTACCATGATTCTTCTTTATTCAGCCGGTATACTGTATGATACATCAGTTGGGTCAAAGCATTTTGTATTTGTGGACAGTCGAGGCCAGCGTAGACTACCGTTGAGCATCCTCTAATCTGCCAGAACTATTCTAGCTAGTGGAGCGCGTTAAAGAGCTCAAAGTGCAAACTAATCCTGCCTAATAATTCAACAACTCTTACCATTCATTTGATCGCCATACTATCGTCATTGACCGCCATCATGAAGGTGTTTGGGATCGATTTTGCGCCACTCAATATTCCATTTCAACGACGTATTCAAACTTTTGCTACCTTAGTGGCGGTGGTGTTGTTCCTATTCGGTCATTCTGTCGGACTAGCAATGACCATTTGCGGTTTACTATTTCCACCATTGACTGTCCCTATACTATTCTATCTCGTCTGGATTTACTTCTTCGACAGTCAATGCCCTCGTCGTGGTGGTCGACGAATCGAGTTCTTTCGCAATTGGTCATTTTGGAGGTATTTTTCCGACTACTTTCCTTGTAAGGTAATCAAAACGTGCCAATTGGATCCTAGTCGAAGTAAGTACAGCGTCGATGCATACGGATGAAATCAATTTCTAGCCTGTGATGCATCGCCCATATCCCTTTCACGCAACCATCTGCTTACCTTACAGTAAATTATCTCATGGACGAGTTCGTAAATTTGTATCTATAATCTCCAGCAATCATAGCCATTCCTCTTCCTATACCGAATATACGTATAAGTTCTAACACTGGGTTCTCCATTTGAACACAGTATCATCATCATCATCTTGATTACTATTGTAAACATTCCTACTAAAATTATGCTCATACTCTATTGCTTACAATAACATAATCTTTGGCTTATGACCATCAGTTTCTTAATTGTACACTATTCTACGTATGGAAGATACGCTAGGTCTAGCCTTAGCTAAGTGCTAATTATATTATTATAAAAAAAGCAACGTTGCGACCTCATCTATTAATTCTAATGTAAAAATGGTGCAAAAAGCCTCTCACTGGATACCGATCCAAATTAAATCATATATAATCTATACTGTAAGGGATGCCATACAAAATACCTTTAGCACTGTTAGGCAAACAAGCGGAATATGTTGAAGAGAAATTGACAGGAATGAAATAGATGGTTAAATTGCAATACATCCTTCTCACACCTACAGTACCACCATGATAAATGAACGTATAGATAGCCTGATGCGATCAACCAATTCAGCTTCACTTTTAGGTGGCACATTACTATTCTACACCTATAATATTATCGCCAGATACAAATGCAACTGTACTTATCAAAGTACTACTAGTATATGTAGAATCGAAATGATCTCATTGTTATCACCGATAGCCTTTATTATATTCCTTGATGAAGATGCCTTGCTGCTAATTTTTAAATACTCTCTTTCTATATTTAACATGTTAAATTCGCCGCTTCCACCTGGATGAAAACTTATCCGCACCAATACACCTATTGTATCCAAAAATATCTTGTGCAACTCCAACACAACACCATTCATGATCCGTAAAGATTACTTGTTCGCCTATCATCCACACGGGTAAGTACTGCACCGTACAATTAGAATGGATAATTAATGAATTAATAGAACTCGGAGAATGATAGTACTGTATAGATTTCTAGAGACAATATTGTGTAATACTCGTACGAGTATATAGCCATTTCAGAAGCTACTACACTAGAACATTAGGACTAGGTCTAAATCAAAATTTTGCTACACTAGTAATACTGTAGAGTTAATTCTGTAATGACTAAAGCACTTGTCATTCTGCTGGCAATTATTCCATACAGAGACGAAAGATGTCATAGAGTACAGAAGAAACCTTTTACCGCAATAGCATACAGAGAATGAAAATAGTACTTTATTTACTGTCTTACAGCCTGATTAGTTGATTACTTGTTTATACATACAGTATTAATAGAATATTCAAACTATTCCCTTTATGAAATTTTCATTTCCATATACGAGAATATACCGAGTAGTACCAAGGTATCCAAAATATATCATACTCGATACTATACCAGCTGATATTGAAATACTATATAGCAAACATTTGCACCAATTATCATCACAGGTTGTACATTGTACTGTCACTCAACGAACTAAACTACTAAAAATTTATAATATTGTAAAAACGTAATCTATTGCATAGCACTGTAGTAAGTTATTGATTATAGGATACAATTCTTTCCAGTTTCTGTTGATGCTTTCAAATTAGAAATTACCATTTTCTCTCTAATATTACAGTATGTCAACCCTTGCAAAATCTTTTTACGTATTCCTTTAGCACTAAGGTACATTGATTATAATCATATACAGATTAATAAGCCTAGGGTTTCAGGTCACTTTTGTCGCCAATGGCAATGACTTTCAAGAGCAATTCCCCGGTATCATCGTACATCCTCTCACACTTAGCTTGGTTTTTCGCTTTCCGTTTATTCGCGATTTTCTCCTATCTGTGGGCGTCTGCGATGTAAGTCGTGATAGTTGTCAATACATATTGGAAAAGATGGGCCCTGGACATTCGATTGGTATTGTCATCGGTGGTGCTGCAGAAGCTTTAGATGCTCATCCGGGCTATTCTAGGCTAAAATTAAAGAATCGACGAGGGTTTATTCGCATTGCTCTTAAATCGGGGTACACGTGTTAATTTTGAACAATTTATTCGTATTATAGACCACTGGGATAAACAACTATTAAATTTGTGTAGTAGTCTCAGTTGTCGTTGCACTTCTAGATGATTCTTCATTATTAAAAGATTTTCCTTAGCTAAACTACAGTCCGTCCTTAAATACTAAGTAAAACTAACTATCTATATGCTCATAATTGACTGAACAATTAATTTATAATAGTGCCGATTTAGTGCCTATGTATTGCTTTGGAGAGAATGACTTATACGATCAAGCGAGTAACCCGCCAGGATCATGGTTAAGAAATTTTCAGATACGTTTTATGAGAGCTACAACGTTTATACCACCATTATTTCATGGGCGTGGTGTTTTCAATTATTCTTTTGGTTTATTGCCGTATCGCAAGCCACTGAATGTCGTTGGTATGTAACATTATAAAGCAATAATGAGATTAATAACTTTACTAAGAGTTTATTTATTATGCGTATTAGATTCAACTGCTAAAGGAAACTGCTACAATAAATCATATGTTGATATCATTATTAAATTGCTATAAATTATAAACTAATCATAAGCAAACCCAGTAAATGGACCATAAAGTTACATTCTATTAGTTTAAATAACAACTCGCGCTATTTTTACTACATTTTTACAGTTGGAAAGCCAATTTGCGTAGAAAAGGTTGAAAATCCAACGGAAGAGCAAGTTGCTGAATTACATCAAATCTATATTAGTTCACTTAAAGAACTATTTACACAATATAGAAAGGAATACAGTACCAATGAAGTCGAAGAAATAAGCCTAATATGATCAAATCGCAAAGTGGAAATACAAGTGTATGCATTGGAATAATATTTCAAGCTATACGTATAGTATTAAATTGCGTTTAAAGCTTTCATGAAGACAGTATGATCGTCATCATTGCACTACTGTACATTGCATAGAAAATACTGTTCTCTTCAGCATTGATAAAATTGACCCATTTTTTATATCTATGCATTAAAATACAAAAGGATTACTTCTATTATATTCTCCTGATCATGCTTACTATTATGGTATTCGATGCTAATTGCAGATAAGTTTTATTGATATATAATATTAAAGACTTAAAATTAGCTTAACAAGTTATCACATAGTTACTCCGTTAGAATTCTTTACTATACTGTACATGCAATAATGAAGGAAAAATACAAGGCTAATAAACTTCATCAATTATTGTTTGAAATCGAAAATTAAAATTGATGTAGATGCTATCTATTCTTGATTAATTAAATACTAGTTAATAGCACAAAATTTATTAAACTGACTTGTACTGTTCTAGCAAATTAGTTATAACTATCTTACTCAATAACATACCTGTGCCATGCCTATCTAAAAGTGCATTTTCTATTCTAGTGTATCATAATCAGCGTGAATAAAATATCATAGAATATTCAACTACTTAAGCAGTTTCTGTATTGCTTGAATTTGAATTATTCATCAGCTTTGCTATCTATACCTGTCGTAAATTTTGGGACTCTATCTTTCATTAGCTTATGTTAGAGTTACAATATTGTTGCTAAGAAAATATCACATTTATTGAGGTCATTAATATTGAATTAATGATCAATAAAGACTATTAAAATTTGTTTTTATCAAATTGGAGCATGGCGACATATCAAATTTCAGCATATCATTCATAGAATAGATATATTATGATCAGAATCATAAATTTATAACGTATACGTAGTCTACATGGTTCAAAATAGACCGTCCTATAATAATAATACGATTTTTGCTTTATAGAGATTAAATTTACGATTTACTGTAACAATTTTATCAGCAGATAACAATAAGAATAATAGCAATGGCTTGTGATTCAATTACTCATAGTTGTCACTTTCACTTGTTTATGTCAGTTTCCAACCTGATTTAACGTCATAATGTAATAATATGTATCATCAAATGAAATTAACTTACTGTATTGTATTATCTCTATTTCAACACATAAGAATTTTCAAATCCTTCATCACCATATTGTAAGAATCATGAAATTATTAATATCATTGCTTAAATTAAATTGTCTTCTTATCTTATTTAATATCAACGACTTAGAATACTTAATTTTTTAACAATAGCGTTCACGGCTGTCACAAGATACTGTAAGTTTCCCTATAGGGGCATATATATAAAATATGTATCCTTCTCTTTCATTTGGAAATGAATTTGAAAAATGCATGTTCAACTATTAACAAAAATAAAGACGTCTGTGTATAATAGTAAAAAGGGTTAGAAAATTACATTAAATTCACTATTTTCTGCTTCAACGACAAAGATGATTTTCATTTAGAATTTCTGAAAATTATTATCATGTAATGTTGAATCGATTAATCCAATTTCAACTACTATCTCGATGTATAAAACCCAATTATATCAAGTTAAAAATATCAATAATATCAATGAATAATAATGACCTGAAGTGGAAAAATTCTTCATCCGGTAGAAGAATTTATGCAAGTAAGAGAACGATATTTAAGCCTGGATAAGCTTCATTTAGGTACTGATTAAATTTATATGTAATATTGCGTGATTTATGCTATTCATCCTTAAGTGACTGACGGAATCAAAATTATTCGATAATATCAATGATTTTTTAGTCATGTACTAATAAAGTTGACGATAATTTTGGCCCCGTAAACAATTACGTACGGGTACGTGCGATATAAAAGCAAAATTGATCATTTATAATATGAAAATAAAATTAGAAAGAATGAGATCATACTGTACCACTAAATATAATTATTATCAAATATTACATTCCTTCTATTCTCTTATATATTATCATGCAAAAATTCGTAGTTATAATAGTGCAAGGCACACTGATTAATTTATTAATGTATTTTTAGGGAATTTATTTATAGCTATCGTAACAAATTTGGGGAAAGGTGTGCTTAGAATAGAAATAAGACATCACTCTTAACTGATCGTTCAGTCAATAGGCAGTCTTTACAATCTTTTGATAAGTTATTATAGCTAAAAAGGCAATGATCTCTTTCTATGACCTGACCCCTTAATTTAGCATATTGAATGAATTATCACCCGTGTCAGAATAAATTGTCACTATTGATCGTCGCAATCATTACAACGCAAGAAGATTTTCAACCGTAAAATTTATACGCGTCGATTTCCGGTACCATAGAGACGATCTTATCAGTTGTTCTTCTTAATTAATAATAACTTATTTTGGCTATTCGCATGATACATCATATGCTTATGCCATGGAAACACCTCTTTGTTCCGTACTTCCTATAATTACTTTCACCTGCGTCTGTTTACGGTAATTGAGATAAAATGATTGAAAAATTATTCTATTCATCAATCAACCCATATGTGCATTAAATGATAAATGAACGAAATTGAATCAGACCAGATTGTCACGTAATCAATCTTATTTTTCATTTTCAAAATCAAATGACTGGTATTAAATAAATGCATCGGACATTAAAGAAAAGAAAATGTCTTAAACAATCATAAATAATAATTATAATTAATAAAAATAGATTGAGAATGGCTTACACAATACAGTATTGATGCACGAATTCTTACCTTATTTTATTAATGTATTTTTCTCTTTCAGTGCCCACATAACGTTGGATAAATCAAATCCAATAATAATCTATCGAAAGATTTCAGGGTACTCTAACGGTAGATCAAGTTTACGCCATACTTATCAAGATTAACCCCACAATATTTTATCGATTAATATGTATTAATATATACATATTTTATTTAGGTAATCACTTATTTTCATTATCGATAAGAATATGGTACGCTGAAGTCTCTATGAAGCTAATAGAATAGACAAAGTTAAAGGGTCATTGGAAAAAAATATCTGTGCAAGACAAATATAAAAGACTGTTATACCTCAAGATTTACTAAATTAAACGGTATATTGTAACCATACAAACGTTCGTCTCATTTTACAGCTTGTAAGTTATCAACAGGAGATCGGTGTCAAATTTAGCAGATATATAATTTGATACCGAATAATACAATATAATCTAGAATAGGTCACGATGAACTAATTAACTATTGTTATAATATATTTCTATCTAGATTTACTATCTCTTACTTAATAAATTTATTTTCTTTCACTAATAAATTAGAATATCACTTAAAATCAAGCCAATTTCTCTAATTGTAGATCACATTTTATATCTCTTTCTTTAAATATATGCAAAAATAGAATCATGAATGTAGTCCGGGTATGGAGATTTTGGCAATTTTACTTATTGATACTTTCTCCTACTGTATGGACCCATTGGGCTCAAAATCTCAACAATTCGACGCAAGTAATGTTAGCTAGGGATCATGGTGATATCGTTTTAGGTGGATTATTTGCTGCCCATTTCGAATATAATCCTCTCGATCGAAAATGTGCCCATACTAGTGAAAGGGGTATCAAGCATATTCAAGCTATGATTTATGCTATACAACAAATTAATAACAATAACCATATCTTACCTAATATTAAATTGGGTTACTATATTCGTGACAGCTGCAATAGCCCAAATTATGCTTTAGAAGAAGCTTTAGACTTTATTATATCAACGTATAATACTAATAATGGCGTTCAACGTTCTCTCTTACTGTCAAACTTTTGTCATAGTCAACAAGCATCATCAAGTTCGACTACTGATAATAACCAAAATCGTTTACCAAATATTTTCGGTATTGTCGGTGGGCGAGCAAGTCGTGTCTCCATACCAGTAGCAAGCTTAGTTAGTAATTTCGATATTGCAATGATTAGCTATGCATCTACGAGTCGATTACTGAGTGATAAAGCTCAATTCGGATCATTTTTTCGTACAGTACCATCGGATGAATTTCAAGCTGCGGCTATGGTTGATATTATTAAACATTTCAATTGGACTTACGTTGCTACTGTTGCTACTGATGATAGTTACGGAAGGTTAGCGATATCCACATTTAAAAATATTTCTGCCCATGATGGAATTTGTATTGCTGTTGAAGAATACTTCCCCATCTTAAATAATCAACAAAAAATTACAGAAATTATTCAACGTTTACGTCGCTATTCTGATGCTGTTATTATTGTAATGTATTGTGCAATTTATGAAGCAACATTAGTCTTAAGAGAAGCAGAAAAGCAAAATCTAACTGGTCGAATATTTATTGGATCAGAAGCATGGAGTGATTCACCAAATCTCGTCGATTTTCGTCAAGATGTTATTGGCGGTATGTTATCGGTTGTTTTAACTGGTCGTGAAACACAAGTATTTCGGCAATATCTCGATCAACTTGATTTATGTAACAACCTTATTAATCCATGGTTTAAACAAATGTGGATCTCTAAAGCAATCCAACGTGGTTATAATATCGATCATTTATTATCCAACTGTTCTATCCCTACTGATTTAAGTGGTAATAAAACCGATCGATTTTATGACAGTAGTACAGTAACTGCTTATGTTATCGATGCAGTTTACGCCTTCGCTTATGCTTTACACGATATGTACCAATGTGATCATCACCACTGTCAGTTTTCAAATCATCAGTTTGACCGGAAAAAATTTTTATCCTACTTGCATAATGTTTCCTTTTCAGCATTAAGCAATCCTGATTTCTCATTTAATAGTAATGGAGATGTTGTCGCTCGCTATATTATTAAGAATTTACAAAAAGACAAGCAAAGTGGCCATTTAAAATTTACATCGATAGGTGAATGGATAGGATATGGCGATAAAGAGGATAGATTAATAATAAATGAAACATTAATACGATGGCAAGGTAATCGCAACTGGACGAATATT